CAGAAACAAAATCCGTTTGGCATAACGGGAAAATTGGCTGTGAAGATTAAATGAATGGATTGCTGAAAAGCAGTGATGATCCAATTGCGAAAAGCATAACCGTGTACTGTCCTACAAATGCCACTAACCATTTACAAAACACCAGTTTAAACTACTCGATCATGAAAGATAATTTTAACATATCAATAAGTATCATTATTGCAAGCCGATCTTCTTAACTGCTGGATACATCTGCCTGTTTCTCTACACTATCTGTATGTTTGCGTGTATTTTATATTTCCATCTCCATTCTGTACAGCTGCCTATATTCGGTGTAGCAGTATATTATAGCCACAACTGTACAAATTTTCGTTCAAATTTATCTATTTTGTATGCTTGTGTATATTGTATTTAGCTTTGTATATTTTGTATAGCTCTATATTTTGTATATTCATTTACTATTATGTATACCGGTGCATTTTTTGTAATGTTACGTGTGTTCCTGACCCAGTTCCAAGTTGTCTTAGCCAACCACCAACTCTCAAAAACGCCAACATCAGTGACGGAAGTCAGCTTGTTGGTAGTATCAGGACATACACGTGTCACCATGGTTACCGTGATACATCTAGTAATGAGACGACCGCCAACACCACGTGCCTTGGAAATCTAACCTGGAGTCGTGTAGTTCTCAAATGTTTAGGTCAGTACAATCAAACATAAAATAGCTGTGCATATTAGACATTGCTCTATGGATTTCACATAGTTATATACAGTTGATATCAAGACCGGTGTTCATTTTCAAAAAGTGCCCAAAGTCCATCTACAAAATTCAGTATGAATAACAGTTCAGTATTGAATCATATCTAACAGCGGACATATTTCAAAATGTGAACTGAATTTAATCCAAAGGAAAAATAAGAAGGTTAGAAAATACGAACTCTGTGAAATATCAATTGTGAAATCTATACTTTCCTTCATCAGGAAGCAATATAGAAAGCAATATAGACATCCATATTGAAAATAGTTCCAACAGCTGAAAACACTATCCATCCTCATAACATCAACTGATGAACTTTCGATGTATGATACCTGACGATCTTTTGTTGAAGCTTTTACAATGAAAAGGGGATCTATAAAGAACGTCAGTGCAAAAGAACCCGCAGTCTGCTCTATCCTCAGAAACAAAATCCGTTTGGCATAACGGGAAAATTGGCTGTGAAGATTAAATGACTGGATTGCTGAAAAGCAGTGATGATCCAATTGCGAAAAGCATAAGCGTGTACTGTCCTACAAATGCCACTAACCATTTACAAAACACCAATTTAAACTACTCGATCATGAAAGATAATTTTAACATATCAATAAGTATCATTATTGCAAGCCGATCTTCTTAACTGCTGGATACATCTGCCTGTTTCTCTACACTATCTGTATGTTTGCGTGTATTTTATATTTCACTCTCCATTCTGTACAGCTGCCTATATTCGGTGTAGCAGTATATTAAAGCCACAACTGTACGAATTTTCGTTCAACTTTATCTATTTTGTATGCTTGTGTTGATTGTATGTAGCTTTGTATATTTTGTATAGCTCTATACTTGGTGTATTCATTTACTATTATCTATACCAGTGCATTTTCCGTAATGCTACTTGTGTTCCTGACCCAGTTCCAAGTTGTCTTAGCCAGCCACCGCCTCTCAGAAACGCCAACATCAATGACGGAAGTCAGCTTGTTGGTAGTATCCGGACATACACGTGTCACCATGGTTACCGTGGTACCTCTAGTAATGAGTCATTTACTATTATGTATACCAGTGCACTTTCTGTAATGTTACGTGTGTTCCTGACCTAGTTCCAAGTTGTCTTAGCGAGCCCCCACGTGTCAAAAACGCCAACGTCAGTGACAGGAGTCAGCTTGTTGTTAGGTCAGTACAATCAAAAATAAAACAGCTGTGCATATTTGGCATTGCAATATGGATTTCGTATAGTTATATATATTTGACATCAAGACCAGTGTTCATTTTGAAAAAGTGATCAAAGTCCATCTACAAAATTCAGTATGAATAACAATTCAGTCTGCTCTATCCTTAGAAACAAAATTCGTTTGGCATAAAGGGAAATTTTAAAGAATGGATCGCTGAAAATCAGTGATGATCCATTTGTGAAAAGTTTTAGCGTGTACTGTCCTACAAATGCATCTAACCATTTTCAAAATACCAATTTAAACTACTCCACAGTGAAAAATAATTTTAACATATATATCAGTATCATTATTCCAAGCTGATCTTCTTCACTGCTGAATACAACTGCCCTTTTGACTATAGTATCTGTATGTTTGGATGTATTTTATGTTTCAATCTCCATTCTCTACAGCTTGCTATATTTGGCGTAGCACTATAATTCTCGTTCAACTTCATCTTTTATCATATTTTCTGTAGCTTTGTATGGTTTGTTTTGCTCTACATTTGGTATTTTCATTTCCTATTATTTATTCCAGCGCATATTCTGTAATGTAACTTGTGTTCTTGTCCCAGTTCCAAATTGTCTTAGCCAACCTCCACATCTCAAAAACGCCGACGTCAGTGACGGAAGTCAGCTTGTTGGTAGTATCCGGACATACACGTGTCACAAAGGTTATCGTGATATGTCAAAAAAGAAGGGGACTGCAAATAGCGTTTGCCTTGGAAATCTCACTTGGAGTCGTGCAACTCTCAAATGTTTAGGTCAGTACAATCAGAAATCCAAAATTACATTTGAAGTCGTGTGGCTCTCAAATGTTTAGGTCAGTACAAGTAGAAATGCAAAAGGTGGCATATTCGGCATTGCTATATGGATTTCGTAAAGTTTGTTATGTTTGTTTGTAGAACATATTTGAGCATATTTTGTGGAACTTTATAATAATGAGCATATTATCTAAAGTTAATATTAACAAAGCCTCCCCGATAGTTGATATCAAGACTTTTAATTCTTCATTTTACAGTATAATCATAAATGGAAGTGGATTAATTTCTTATGCATTGTATGGATATAACATGTGATGTAATTGGAATTACACTTTCTTGGGAAAGTAAACATTCTAGTTCTTTCGTATTGTTCAGTCAAACACTTGTTTCGAACCCACACATAACATACGCTCTATTTGAGTACTTTCAAAATGGCACTGTGCATTCATTGTAAGGAGATTGACTTTCCTGTGCTTGATTAACTAACAGTGATATATGAAATAATGACCTATTTCACTATGTGGACTTAAAAATGCTTAACATTTATTTTGTCAACCCTCAGTCCGTTGGAAAGTGTCAAACCTATTTAGACTGTACCATTTGCATGTGTCTAACGTCCGATAGCCAATGTTCCTATTCCAGCGGAACTGTGTCCCAGCAAGCTTCCAACTGTTCAAAATGCCGACGTCAGTAGCGGAAACAGGAATGTTGGGAGTTCCAGGAAGTACACGTGTCGCCGTGGTTACCGTGACAAATCTACTGGTCTAAACATCGCCCAAACCAGATGCCTTCAGAGCCTCCGTTGGAGTCCGCCAAATCTCTCCTGTTCAGGTGCGTATTTTGAGAAGTAGAAGCAGTTGTGTTAAAACCACTTTATTGCAGTGTTCCTATATCTAACCTCAGATCTTCGTCCATGGCGCGATAAAAAGAAATCCGAAATACGAGTAGAGGAAGACATTCCCTTTTTTCTGTTTTCAGTTGGTATATGTTTTGCAATTTAATTACAATGCACACGAAAATCTGTCGACAGAATAATTGACACAGATATTTGATAAGTTAAGCACCAAATGTCATGAATGGAGAATGATTGATAGAAATATACCTACAGACATACATACAAATAATTATTTATCAATCTTCAGAGGTTCAGAACTTTTAGTAAAAACTAAAAGCAAATCCAGTCGGAAGTTGACTTAGAAGCCAGTCAGTGAAATGGATTACTTCCTTATTGATAATATCTTTGACATATCATGACAGGAAGTAGGCATCTCCATGGGCACCAGAGGTGCTCTCCTTCTTGCTTCTGTTTCATAACGCACATGAATCAGAATATCATTGTGTCAATCCTCAGTCAGTTGGAGAGCCTATTTAGACTGTACGGATTTCATGTGTCTGATTCATCATTTCGTCCGATTCTAATGAACTTATTCCAGCGGAACGTTGCCCTAGCAAGCTTCCAACTGTTCAAAATGCCGACGTCAGTAGCGGAAACAGGAATGTTGGGAGTTCCAGGAAGTACACGTGTCACCGCGGTTACCGTGACAAATCTACTGGTCTAAACATCGCCCAAACCAGATGCCTTCACAGCCTTCGTTGGAGTCCGCCAAATCTCTCGTGTTCAGGTGGGTATGATGAGAAGTAGAAGCAGTTGTGTTAAAACCACTTTATTGCAGTGTTCCTATATCTAACCTCAGATCTTCGTCCACGGCGCGATAAAAAGAAATCCGAAATACGAATAGAGGAAGACTTTCCCCTTTTTGTTTTCAGTTGGTATATGTTTTGCAATTTATTTACAATGCACACGAAATTCTGTCGACAGAATAATTGACACAGATATTTGATAAGTTAAGCAACAAATGCCATGCATGGAGAATGATTGATAGAAATATACCTACAGACATAGATGCAAATAGTTATTTATCAATCTTCAGAGGTTCAGAACTTTTAGTAAAAACTAAAAGCAAATCCAGTCGGAAGTTGACTTAGAAGCCAGTCAGTGAAATGGATTACTTCCTTATTGATAATATCTTTGACATATCATGACAGGAAGTAGGCATCTCCATGGGCACCAGAGGTGCTCTCCTTCTTGCTTCTGTTTCATAATGCACATGAATCAGAATATCATTGTGTCAATCCTCAGTCAGTTGGAGAGCCTATTTAGACTGTACGGATTTCATGTGTCTGACTCATCATTTCGTCCGATTCTAATGAACTTATTCCAGCGGAACGTTGCCCTAGCAAGCTTCCAACTGTTCAAAATGCCGACGTCAGTAGCGGAAACAGGAATGTTGGGAGTTCCAGGAAGTACACGTGTCACCGCGGTTACCGTGACAAATCTACTGGTCTAAACATCGCCCAAACCAGATGCCTTCAGAGCCTACGTTGGAGTCCGCCAAATCTCTCCTGTTCAGGTGGGTATGATGAGAAGTAGAAGTAGTTGTGTTAAAACCACTTTATTGCAGTGTTCCTATATCTAACCTCAGATCTTCGTCCATGGCGCGATAAAAAGAAATCCGAAATACGAGCAGAGGAAGACATTCCCTTTTTCTGTTTTCAGTTGGTATATGTTTTGCAATTTAATTACAATGCACACGAAAATCTGTCAGCAGAATAATTGACACAGATATTTGATAAGTTAAGCAACAAATGTCATGGATGGAGAATGATTGATAGAGGTTCAGAACTTTTAGTAAAAACTAAAAGCAAATGCAATCGGAAGTTGACTTAGAAGCCAGTCAGTGAAATGGATTACTTCCTTATTGATAATATCTTTGACATATCATGACAGGAAGTAGTGCTCTCCTTCTTGCTTCTGTTTCATAATGCACATGAATCAGAATTTCATTGTGTCAATCCTCAGTCAGTTGGAGAGCCTATTTAGACTGTACGGATTTCATGTGTCTGATTCATCTTATACTCCGATTCTAATGAACTTATTCCAGCGGAACGTTGTCCTAGCAAGCTTCCAACTGTTCAAAATGCCGACGTCAGTAGCGGAAACAGGAATGTTGGGAGTTCCAGGAAGTACACGTGTCACCGCGGTTATCGTGACACATCTACTGGTAGCAAAATCGCTAAAACCAGATGCCTTCACAGCCTTCGTTGGACTCAGCCAAATCTCTCCTGTTCAGGTGAGTATGATGAGAAGAAGCAGCAATTGTGTATAAACAACTTTATTGTAGTGTTCCCATATTTATCCTCAGATCTTCGTCCAAGGCGGGATATGCGTGTGTGCGTGCGTGCTTGAAACTGATGACCTGGATTACATAACGAGACATGTTGATAGCATATAATTACACATGCTTGGCTACCTATAGTCTGTCTCACAGTCCCTGAACCACATTATTTTCCCTGCTGCCAAGCCCTCTCTCCAATGCTAAAGCCCTAAATGAAGCAACTCTTGCGCCATTGTTACCTCATCAATCATGCCTTTATTAACAATCCTTGGCTTCCACTTGTCCATCTACCATTTAGTGCCAGTTAACTTCTGGTTTCTCTTGTTATCTGTTGGTGTTTTCACATATACATATATATCTGTCTGTTACCCTCTTGTTTCATTCACCTGATGAAGGAGTAATAATATAATTTCAAACGTCGTGTCCATCACAATAAAAGGTTGACATCCATTAAATTCTTGCCTTTATTTCAAAGATAGTCAAACGACTCTTTATAATTTCTTTATAAATTTCCATGTGTTCAGTCAACTTATGATACTTTTAGAATGTGTTAAACTTTTAGGATTAATTTTTGACCTTTGATATTAATACTTGTATATCATTTATGTCAAGTATTATACAATTTCTATCAGTTTCAAAATGTGACCAGTATTTCAAAAGCGGCAAACCACATCTGTTCATATCAATTATTGTAGTATCTTTCCATACACATGGAATTTTTTAATTCATAGATGCACCACTTACTTTCAGGAACACAGCTTATTAAACATCAAGTTTTCTGGTAATCTTTATGACAACACATCTTCTAAATATTACATTCAAAGCAGCCCAATGGAACTGGGGAAGTCTTAATTATTTTACTGAAATCCCGACCGCACTAGTCGTGGATTTCATAGGCGGTGGATTCGACAAAAAGTGATTACAACATATTGAATTCATTCGATTTTACACGACTTTATTTCAGAAACACAGCTTATAAGAAATCAGGTTTCCTAATGACCAAATTTACTATTCCAGCTCAAAGTTGTCCCAGTAAACCTCCACATATTGAGAACGCTCATGTCAGTGGCAGAGGAAACGTTGTTGGAAGTGTCAGGAAGTACACTTGTCGCAAAGGCTACATGGACACGTCTTATCCAAAGGGGACCAACGAAGCCAGATGCCGTGAAAACTTCAGATGGAGTCAGCCCGGGCTCCGCTGCACGGGTCAGTGTAATGTAATGTGTTGTAGGGGGGCCGTACGTAGGTCACGGCAATTCGCAGGACCTTAGTATTTCCGGTTACAAACAATGTGTCATACCTTTTCGAATGGTCTCATTGTTGTCAGTTGACAATAAGGAACCGATAATCCATGCAGGAATAACAAATTTCCGATCTAACCGGACCCTAATTAGCCAACTATTACGACTCTCAACAGCTGCGACAGCCAAGTATGGTTGTACACTTGGCCTAGTAAAGTCATATATGGCGTTCGCGCAGTCTGGATCCAGAACTGGTCCTGGAATATACGCTTGTCACCGGAAAACTGGTACCGGAAGTAAGCTGGGCCCCGTCTCGCATATCGTAAGTTGGCGCGCGCAGAGGGTGCCGGGAACCAGCTTAGTACCGGAAGTAGCGCCTTGCGAGACTTACAGGCCCTATTCTTTTCGACTATACGTCTAAAGATCACATTCTAAGCAGCCCAATGTAATTGGGAATGTCTTAAGTTTTTGACTGTTTACAATTATCTTATTCATTTTCTGATCATGTCAACAGTTCACCAGAATTTAAAGGGGCACTGATCCAGAGCGATTAATATTTAGGATTATAGGACAAAATATTAATATTGACCTCGTCATTTTAGACCTGACATGTTTTACCACTGGCAGAGGAAGTCAAACTTCAAAATGTTTTCATGTGTTATCATAATAATGAAGACGGAAATATTAATGAGTAAAGAAGTGTTCATCTTTGTTGATCAATGTATACCTATTCTACCAATTGCGCTTGCGGGTGGCGCAGCAGATTCGCAAACCAGTCAAGAATTCTGGGATACCATCCTGGTACTCAAGGGAGAAAAACAATAACAAAAGCAACAGCCAGTCCACAGAAATTGCCCTGGATCAGTGCCACTTTAAACATGAAACTACTTCAAACGTGAAATGATTGGGTACCTCTGTGATATGTAACTTTATCAAGACACAATACTGACCTCAGCCACTCACCACTAACAGTTTCCAGTACTTTGTGGCCAAACCTTTCCATGGCCAGTTTTAGGTAGGAGGAAAGTTGGCCACTGCACGGAGTAGAATGGAAACCGGGTGGACATCTTGTTTTGTGATCCTTTCAGTATTGTTGTTTGTTTGCTTGGTTGGTTGGTTGTTTTACGCCGCACTCAGCAATATTCCAGCTATATGGCGGCAGTTTTAAAAAAATCGAGTCAGACTGGGGTTACATGAAATTAAACCAACTATCGGTTACACCCACCTGGGTTGACAGTTCAGATTTGAAGAGGTGATCACACTACGATGTCGCATTGACCACAGCAGATATACTCATTTTGTTTCTTTTGTGATGAAAGAATCACGGTCAAGCATGGCCTGCTTCACTGTATTGATTTTTCCATCACAAGGGATACATATTTCAGTGTCAAAACAGTCCAGGACCTTTTTCAAAGTGTTAAGGTTCATTTAATATTGCGCTTTGTAAAAGAAATAGAATTAATCCATAAATGTTGATGCCTTTAGTTACATATTTTATAGGACGGTAGTATATGATTATTAGCTGAGATTGTCAATGGCCGGGCACTTTATGAAAGTTGAAGTACTGTAAAATATTGTCCCCCTGAGAGGGTGTGTAAGCCACATCTTTCAAAGCATAGTTATATATACCACAGTGTAGATTTTAGATAACTGGCAAACCTTACATACAATCGCTAACAGCTGAAGGGATGTTTTAAATCCAGCTTGAGTCCATGCAGGTAACAAAAGCATTGCATGGTGACCTGCCTTCAGTTGTTGGCCATCTATAGCCCCTTTTTATATTGTATTGTCCTTAAAGTCATATGGTTACGTGCTAGTTTTAAAACAAATTCTGTGATATCTAGTTATTTTACTGTCTTTCATTGACAGGTATGTATTTTATTTGAGGGGGCCTTTATTGATAGATATCCTTTGTAGTCCCTATATGGCTGAAATATATGCCGATGTGACTTTAAATTATAACTCACTCACTCTTACTTCGTGTATGTACGTGTGTACTATAAGGACGTCCGTGTTATAAATATGGGTGATTTTAGTGAGTTGGGGTTTACGCCGCCTGTAGCAATATTCCAGAAATATCACGGTGAGAGGTACCAAAAGGGGGTTCACACATTATACCCATGCGTGGAATCGAACTTCAGCGTCTTCAACGTGACTATCGAACGCTTTAACCACTGGACTACCCCACCGCCCCAAGGTGATTTTAACCCAGACTAGCAGAGGGGGTGTTGTGACTTAAATGCCAGCCACTGATATCTGCCTGTTAATCAGTGTATATATACTAGCCACATAAAGAAACTGCGCACACAGAAAATTCATTCAGAATTGGAATACAACACAGAAAAGACAACATGATGTAGACACTTTATAAGCTGAAGTATCGGGCCTCAACAACATGTCAAAAGAACATGAAAAATATCCGTAACGATGACGTCAGAAGTTCAAAATTGAGTCGGGGGTCACACGTCGAAGTCACAAAGTCAATAACGGGTATGACCATCATGCGCGTGAAGCACAGCAGTGCATCGACGACGCATAGAGGCTACAAAATTTTCCAAATGAAGGCCTGGGGAATGGTTTGGGACGTGGTCACTGCCGTCTGGAACCTGTGTCTGGTATGAGTCACCCGAATCCATCTGTCCTGACTTGGCGTCGTTACTCGGGGACGCCCAGAACGTGGGTGGTCGGCGACGAAATTACTGTTTCCCTAACGCCTGACGAAGCAGATATCGTGTTACGATGGCATTGGAAATGTGCTGCCACCTGTTGCTGGCTCATGCCTGCTCGAACAATTCCAATGACTTCATGACGTTGAGCACATGTTAATCTTGGCATGATGTGCATGTGACTTTTCCTGTGAATTTGTGAACGTTTGAATGACCAAAGATCAATCTTTCGACAGTGACATCAATTTCTGAGTTTCACATGTTGTGTGCAGCTGCACAGGCTGCACGTGCAGTAACACATTGCAAGTCCATAGGCCACCATCAATGATGCCACGTCGCCTGGCACCTGCATGAACGTTTGATTGTCTCCAATACTTGCTATGTTCACACCTTTATTTATGCATAAAGACGCTGTCTGCCTATCTTTATATTTTCTGTGTGCACAGTTTCTTTATGTTGACAGTATAATTGCAAGTGTTTAAACGGCAGTACGAGGGTCGATCAAAAACTAGTCGGCCTCACCTAGAAAATGATACAAATTCACCTGTTTTTATGTTATATTTTCCTACATATCATCGTCAAGCAAATTGGTTTTGCTATGTTCCAGCCTCACGATCCCCATTTTCTTTGACTTTTTATCTTGGTACCCCCGAAAAACGCAACATCTGCAATAAATGCAACACAAAATTCGGGATACAAAATATGCACATTTTGCGTGTTTGGGATAGGTAGAAGTCCGCTAGAATCAATCTTTGATATTAAAGTACATAAAATAGCAATTTGAAACTACAATCGCTTGTTGAAGTGACTCCCCCTTCATGTTTACTGAAAGAGCTTGTTTTCGAGACAATACCCACCCCTTGTCAGATGACGTAATCATAAGAACATAACATATATACTAATGTTTTCACTATACATACATGATGCCAAGAGTTCAAACTAAATACTGATTGGTCACACAAGTACCAGCTCTCAATATATTGTAAACAGGGCCAGCTTGAACATCTGGACACAATGCTTTTGAAAGAGTAAAATGGGTGTGTCCTTACAAAACAGCCCCCGTCTACATATAAATCAAGCAATCCAAATTTTTTACTGTCGTTTATGAAGTCATTTTATCTGAGGGCATACCATTATTCAAGAGGTACCTAATGACAGATCGTTTTTCATTTTCTGCAATTAAAGAAATATTATAGCCCAATAAGTTGTGATGATAAATATCTTGTTAACCACATTACGAACATTTGTGAAATTTTGGATATCACTTTGCTAATGATTCCTTCAAAATGAAATGGAAGCTTTTCAGACACTGGACATCGAGAATATAGTTAGCTCGACTACTTTTTGACCGACACTCGTATATACAGAGCTAACCCAAACAAGACCGTACAAATAAGACATTCATTCTTAGTCTTTATCTTTACCCTATTCTAATATATATACTCTCCCAAAGAAGAAACGCATATAGGAATTTCAACTGTATTTTTATGTTTATTTTGAAACTTCTTGTAGGCTTTATGAGTGAACGAAATATAGCGAAATTGCACACTGGCAATGCAGACTTATCCGTCTTTGGCACCAACTCGAGGAAAGTCAGTTTGAGTGTCACATGGAGACGTGTGGTGGCGCTGAAGTCAATACCTCGTGTGACCACCGTGGGCATCCAGAACTGAACGACATCTCCTCAGCATCGAACGAATAAGTCTCAGAATCTCGTGTTGCCCAATCGCAGCCCACTCTGCCTGTAGCGCCTGTGCGAGTTGCTGAAGTGTCTGGGGCTGAGGGTTACGGCGTCGCACCCGTCTGCCCAGGGTATCCCACAGATGTTCGATCGGTTTAAGTCCGGTGACCTTGAGGGCCAGGGGAGCACATTGATGTTGTGGTTCTGGAGGAAGTCTCTAGTGTGACGTGCTGTGTGGGGCCTGGCATTGTCCTGTTGAAACAACTCCCTCTGGCGATCAATGATTGGAAGGAGGTGTGGGCGTAGGATTCGTCACAATACCGTTGAGCTGTCAGGTTGCCCTGGATCATCACCAAATCACTTCTCCTAAGCAGGTGATCGCTCCCCACATCATAACACTGTCCCGACCGAATAGGTCAACCTGGGAAACGCAAGCGTCGGCGAAACGTTCACGTCGACGTCAGTACACCCGCATTCTTCCATCGCGTCGTTTCAATAGAAATCGTGATTCGTCACTGAACCAGATTCTACGCCAATTCGGTAGGTTCAAGGCCTGAACATTGGTGCACCATTGAACTCGATGTCGACGATGTTGTCGTCGAAGCACAGGGCCAAAATAAGGTCTTCTGGCACGTAAACCAGCCTCCCTCAACCTGTTCCTGACGGTCTGTGCAGAAAGCCTTCTCAATCCGGGTATTTGTCGAGCGGTACTGGTCGCCGTAGCTGTTCGAGGACGCAGGTGATGTACCCGGATGTAGCGATCCTGCGCCGCAGTGGTCGCTCGAGGTCGCCCACTACGAGGGGCATCTGCTACCGCATTCTGCCGGCGATATCTCTCCCAGAGCCGTGAAATGGTGCTTTGGTGAACATTCATGCGTCGGGCAACTGCACGTTGAGACTTGCCAGCTTCAAGCAAACCAATGGCGATATGACGGTTGGCTTCTCTTAGACGTGGCATTTTGCGTTGGTCAACAAAATTCCAAATACAGTGAATAATCGACAGACAGCGATCAACCTTTTATACCCATCATTGAGACTATCTGATCCCCAACTTTCACGTGCATTGCATGTGAATTGTGGATTCTACTACACGCCGAAATTGAAAATCATGCTGTTAAATACAGGTACTTTACGGATAGTGCGTTTTGTTGTAATGTTTCAAAACATAAACACCATAGGACTCATAAACAGAGCAAAACCTTTTGTAAAATGAATCACGTTTTAATTCATTGCTCCATGAAATTGCTATTTTCATGATGCGTTCCATTTTTTGGGAGAGTATAGTTTCTAATAAAGACAACAACTGAATAATGACCTTTATGTAACATTGACATTCGACAGAAACCTCACCTATGGCAGGAATTCTATTTGTCATGAATTAATAAAGAATATAACGGAATTAAAATATCTTTAAATAGTGTGACATTGACCTTAGATGGAGACGAAGATGGTGCGCTCGAGACACTTCGTTCTGGATCATGTCTATAGATTTGTACAATTCATATGGTAAAATATGAACACAGTAATAACAATTGTCGTCGTCTGTATCCCTTTGAACTGTTGAGAATAACTTTCAGCAATATTTCAGGTCCTTGGATCCAGAAGGAAACCGAAGCTACGCGAAGAGGAAGGAAATACGTTGAGCTGACAGAAGAGGAACTGAAGCATGTATTTGCCGATACAACACTCATCTTTCAAGTCAAAACCTGCCATGATGCCAATTTCAACTACGACAAATACGCGACTCGTAAAAATTTCAATGACAAAATAACCATTGGGGGTGGGGGTAATACTTTCTGGAAGGTTTACCCTTGTAATCTAATAAAAGAAAATAATATCGTTTCCTGTAAGGAGTTTAGAAGCTTCTGGATCAAGTTTCATGGCAATAGAGTACAGGTGGGTAAAGGGGATACGGTAGGGGAAAGAGAAGTCATATCGTGTGAACATAAGTTCAAGGTAATCCATTTGAGAATTTCAACTTACGTCCGAAATGCTGGGACGTGGCTTTTCAAAATACACGGCGGGTAGGATCAGAAATGTTTAAATAAAAATTAAATAATTATGCCGTTTGCATGGCCTGTTGGAATTTCGTTGCTTATTGATTACATTTACTAAGTTTAGATTACTGGACTGATACAGCTCAACTTCATAACAACATCACATGCAGGAAAAAGAGGAAACTTCAAGAAAACATCAAAATCCAAAGAAGGTTGGTTTGTTGTTTAACGCCGCACTCAGCAATATTCCAGTTATATGGCGGAGGGCTGTAAATAATCGAATCTGGACCAGACATTCCAGTGATCAATAGCATGAGCATCGATCTACGCAATCGGGATACAATGACACTTGTCAACCAAGTCAGCGAGCCTGAACCCCATTAGACGCCTCTAACAAGCATGGGTTACTGAAGATTAATTCTAACCCGGATCTTCACGGGTCGATTGGTGAATGGGAAATTTCTGTAAGATAGGGCTGCTTTAATTGTAGTTACGGAGAGCACAGACCTGGCTGATCCTTGGAATGGCTCTCCGGAACACCATGTTAAAGATCGTATTAGTCACTATATATACAGACAACCAGCAACCAAATGTAGAACCTCATTCTAGGGATCACGGGGATGTATGGTACCTCTACAGTTTACATGGATATGTATTCAGTTACTAATTTACTATGGCTGAACGACGGACGAGAAAAATATGGTGTTAAAAATGTCATCTCTGCTATAGATTTGTGACTGCAACCTCCACTAGCAGACAGTGATTCAGAGGTAGTGTCAGCACACACCCTCAGGAAACGACTGCGCTATCCGACCTGGACGACCATTCGTAACACCCATCCTGCAATATTTTCATCGTGTTTAACGTTTACTATTGGTCCGAAGATACACACGATTCAACCAGAGGCTGGCGACCAGCATTATCTTCAGTGACGAGTCACGCTTTACTCTGCGCTTGCCGATATAAGGAAACGGTTGTGCGTCATGCATATACATGAGAGCTTGATCGATTTGGAGGGGCAGTGTAATGGTCCTCGAGCACTATTCCAGCTATATGGCGGAGGTCTGTAAATAATCCATTCGTGACCAGACAATCCAGTGATCAACAGCATGAGCAGCAATCTACGCAATTGGGATACAATGACAATCAAGTCAGCGAGCCTGACCACCCGATCCCATTAGTCGCCTGTTACGACAAGAATGGGTTCCTGAAGATCAATTCTAACTCCGATCTTCACGGGTTCATCATATGCATGAAGAAACAGGTCCGCAAGGAGGGGGGCACAATTGGTGCCTACTTCCTGTCTAATTACGTTTATGGCGAATACGGCCTGTTTTCTATTCCCTGCCGTTTGCAGTATATATTTTGATAGCGTGTAAAACCATGTTTACAATGAACTAAAATCTTGACCATGAAAAACAGTGGTCAGTATCGACCAGGGCCATTAGATCCAATACGTCGCCTGTTACGACAAGCAGTTCTGGGCCTCCTTTCACAAAGCACTAAGATGATCGTAAGTCACTAAGGTAACCTTAGTGCAATGTAAATGAATGGGAGTTAAGGTTAACCTTAGTAAAGGTTGCTTCGTGAAAGGAGCCCCTGGGCCTCTTTGTACCAAATCCCATCGAGGGCTTCAGATGTCTTGCAGCCGGCCACGAACAAACCAGTTACAAAACATCAAAGACAGTACACGATGTAACAAATAACATCACACAAAGATAACTTTGAAAGATTTAAAAAAATATAAATACAATCTATAAAACATAGATAATACCTAATTCGATAACCATACCTGAACATCATTTTGCTGCACATGTCAACCAAGATGGAAATTACAAAAACGTATATTCTTTAAGTCATTATGCTTATAGTCGTTGTCATTATACAGATCATGTTTAGGAAAAATTGTCCTGACACAAAATAACTCCAACTTGTTTCATCTGCGATGAAGAGCTTCTACTACATTGACCATGCACTATCCGTAACGAATTCAAACCCCATCAACAATTGAATTATATTTTACGTGTTTCCATAAAAAAAACGCACACAGTGTTATTTACATATATTCCTACAAACAATTACCGTATACCGGGAAATTTTCGAGGTACCTAATTTTCGAGGTTTTCGAGGTTAGAAACGCAACCTTGAAAATATTATATCCATGATTTTTTCCGAACTTCAAACCTTTGGGTTAGATTAATTTTCCTATCGATAAGCATTTCAACTGCTGGCAACCAATGACTTCCTGACATGCGCATTAACTCTTTAATGCCTGTCTACAACTAATCTTAACGTTCAGTGACGCTGAACGGCCTGAATAAACAAACAACAGAAATGCGGTGTCGAGACTATTTAATTGTGTTGTAATTGTTGGTCCAGAATAACATGCATTATAAAAAATAGGTAATTCAATCAGTGTCTTACATGTGAAGTCAAACCAACTGTCAATACACTCGATGTCACTCTCTGGCCAAACGGACTGCATCGGCGATGCCAGGTTTGATGAATGCGCGTCTTTAAGGGGATTGTTTACACAAACATCCTGGGGCTGTAAGGCATCCGTGCAGTTGGTCAGTTTCGCTAAAGAGGTCAACTTGTCAGCTTTCTAACAACAACATAGTTTCAGCAGAGACCCATCATACATGCTTATAGTTAGTTGTTAAAAAAACAATATCGTCTGAGAAAAAATGGCGTCATGTTTGAACACTGCCGACAGAGTGTTTCATGGGTCATTTATCACAACAAAGGATCAAAGGGTTGTTTTCATTACTATTATTTCTGCCATGGACTGGTATACCGGGAGTTATAATAGTCAGACGGCAGTTATCACTGGCTACTAGGAGTTTTGCCGATAGCTCAGTGAGTATTAATCCGGTAAGTCATGTTTCTGGCCACTTTCTTCTAACCTCGAAATTAAAATTGTATATATTTTAGGCCCCCAAACCTCGAAATTTAAATCACCTCGAAAGCTCTGGGGGTCTCAAACCTCGAAATTTTAGTACCTTGAAAATTTCCCGGTATACGGTATACAATCCCTGTTTGATTTGCACACATGGACTATCAGACAGTTATATCACATCCCACTGTAATGATATAAGAAACTACAGTTTTCTTCCTTGTATATTATGGTCCAAACAGTCATACAAGGCAGCCTCCAGGTCGAGGAACCGAGGGTCGTCCCACAGTCCGTGTGGGGAGGCATGGTTAGTGATGTACACCACGGAGAGCTGGTTGACAGGGTCAAAATAACCGACCTGACCACCATAGCCTGCGTTGCCGATAACCTTCTGGCCCTGGAAAATATTGCCAATAATTTTATCATCATCATTATCAACATTATTATCATCACCATCATCACCAATACCATCGTTATCATCATCATCATCAGTATCGCCATCATAATCATCATCATCATCATCATCATCATCACAATTTTATGAATCTGTCGCCCAATGCCACAAGCAATTGCTGAAAGCGCACAATTCACAAAGCCCATTTCTGGTGTCCCGTGATATTGCTGAAATAGCGCTAAAACTAAACTCACTCACTCACTCACTCACTCACTCACTACTCACTACTCACTCACTCACTCACTCATATATCTCTAGAGCAACCAGGACCAGATGAGGTTAGTTTTGATTTGAGGAGTGCGGAAAACAGGTTCTTCCAGTTAAAAGTTTACCTTCACACCTAAGATATATGTTTGTTTATCTGTTAAGACCGAGGAAGGAAAATATCGATCTGAACCATGTTGTATTGAGGTGGATTCATTATAATTGAATCTGCAAACTCGCATTGCACATTTTGAAATAAAAGTGGGTGGTTACATTCTGACTTACATGGACAAACACATGGATTTGTTTCGGAATACCTGGTTACTCTTTTACACCAGCGGTCGTCACTGATTTTCAGTGATCCATTCATATACTTCCAATGCCTTATTGGCAACGGGTAATCAAGTCTGATTATTCCTTGGCATTGACGTTCCTTACTGCTCAAAACATTAAAGTTCTTTCCTAAGTTTAAGTGGGTAAAGAAAGAAAATGCTTTGAATTTTAGATGACATCAAGCAGTTTTGTTTTTACACATGAAAGCATCAACTTGGTTGAGGAGGAGAGAACCTATTAAATCAGTTCTTGGACGTTGCCCACTTTGGTAAAACAAACCAGAATTGGTTCGGCGCTGACAAACCCATATATATATATATATATATATGGATGCTTAGGGTGCATCTGGGATTCAAACCCAAGACCATAGCTTTCGGATACGCAACGAATTCCGATAGGGTGTGTTATCAAGGATTAACATGTCCTGCAATTGTACTTCAGTACCCCATTAGTACGTTTCTCTTTGTAGGAGTGAAGTCCAAACAGATGCCTGTCGTAAGGTATACACCATCGTCATATTATATCTCTATTATTCTGCACCTACCTTATACTTTGAGTGAGGCAGTTCACGGAATCCTACACCTCTGCCCCACTCTGCAACGAGTGTGGTAATTACAAGATCCTGAGCGGTTTTTAAACTGCTAGTCATCAACTTCCACGTTTCCGGTTTGAGAAGTTGTCTCCCTTTGATACTTCCGCCCATTGCCATGTAACTGTAGAGTTTGGCCACACTGCGGGCTGTCCCGATACCAAGGAACGCTGATTGGCCAATACTCCTCTCTTCAGGGTCATTAAGAGCAGTGTTCTGGCAAACAAAAACATCATAACGTCATTAGTGTTAGCATGAAAAACCTGAGTGATGGTGTCATATGTGTCAGATTGTCCATCATCGCTTTGTGATAGCACGGTGAGGACATATTCATTGTAACCATATGTAGAGTGAGTGAGTGAGTTAAAATTTCAAGTCACTTTGGCAATATTTCAGCCATATCGTGACCCTCATATGTAGAGCAGAATGTGATTTGCACATATCTACCCGTTTCCGTGGGGTTGATAATAAGAGTTATTTTGATATCAAATGTACATGTATCGATTCTGATCGACTGAATTATTAACACTGCTTTGGTCGTATTGTTCATTCATTATGCAAAATAAGTTACTGTCGTCGCTACAAACATCATGTGGTCGGTTGGTTGACAACGTTCATATGTAGTAGTAAAGTAAATATCATTTGCATTTCGTAAATTCAGCTAACTCTTTAATGCAAGTCTCCTATAACTGCGTGAAAATGAAAATGGTGCTTGTGTTGCGTCCAACGTTCCACAAACCTGATACCCTCGCTATTAGTAATTCATAAACATGTTGTAATCGGTATAGCGCAATGCACTGTGCTTTTGGTAGAAGTCGCCTTACGTTTCAAGTATGTTATATTCTTAATCACACAAAATATATAAAATGAAATATTACTATCCTGTGATATTAGTGATCCATTAGGACAAACCTTCACATTCTTCATAATAAGACAGGTGGATATGTGTGTTCCCAACACTTAAAGTGTTCGAGCAGCCTGTTACCTTTGTCTCCAGTACAGTCATTGCCTTAGCGGAAAGGGATTCCGGGTAGAGTGCGATACTAGCAAAGAAGTGGAACAAATCCCAGGACTTCATGGACGAGATTATCAACGCTATGTCCGACATAAACTGTACACGAGCTACTCGATGTGACAGAGATTTAGGGAGACCGATGTGGAAGTCGATGCCTGCAATAGAAAGATACTAGAGCTTCCAGCCCCAAGAGAGAAAAAGTTCAAGCTTCCGAGGTCCACGATTACCACTTTAGCGAAACCCACCAGATCGGGATGGTACTGACATACCCAGAAATATAATCGGGGCGAACTGGGATTCGAACCAAAGAACCATGGTTTTTTTAGCTTGCCCAAGTGACGCAACTATGCAGAGTGAACTGCGGTGCCAGAATCAACTGGATCACCAACGTCCAAAGTTTTGTGAAAAGGGGATACATTTTAGTACGAGGAATGTGTATTTGATTATAAGTATATATTTGCAGTCTTTTCGCCAGGACCCGGCCCACGATGATCATGCTGACGTATGTGGGAACATAATAGCATGAGAGTCATGAGCATGGTTGTTTTCTAGAATCAGTGGACTGTTCCACTCTGAAGTGAGTCGTCAGATTTGTATGCTAGGGTTTGTTGTAATTGGTTCCTTCGTCACCCATGAATGCATTACAGCTGTAGTCACTATTTAAGTGGTCTCAGCCAGGAAGAATTCGGGGTCGTATTGCCGTTAAATTATTACAGTGATAATAGGGATTCCAAGAGACAAGTAGCTGAGGATTCTCAGTACAAGCGAGTGAAATGAATTGGATGACAAGATTGGGGACTGGCTATTGGCTGTTTGTGTTACACCGCATCCTGACAGAGCAAGACGTTACCAGTAAGAACAATCAGTGGTTTGTCTGCTCCAGACTTACTTTACAGGTCGTCGTCTCATACAATAAGGTAATCACAGTTCTTATATCAGCTGGTTTTAACCGTTAGATTGTTATATCAGTGTTCATGACCATGATCTACTCACCGAAAGGCTCGGCAACCTCCTCCCGGAATATCTGAGTCATGTTCCTGTGATTTGGATCTGCCATCCTGACTAGAGTGTCCACGTAGAAGCCATACGTGATGGCATGGTAACCATGGGCAGTGCCTGCACAAACCATATCCATTGGTCAGTCGTATGGTCAGTTAACCCATGTATACCACTAAGCAAACGTTTCTGGTTGTATCTCATGGTTTGCAATGTATATATGCTTTCAGTCTTTCCTTTGCTTTTTCCCTGAGCCAATTATGAACTTTTCCTACTCATAAGGGCAGATTAAAATGCCAACTACATCTGCCATCAATATTGTTAGAGACTGATACGCCAAAATAGACTAATGTAAAATTACTGCAACACAGTATGAGGTATTTACAACTCAAATAGACATGCCAAGATGACGTGAACATTTGTCAGATCCTTTAGGGCAGCATTTGTATTTTCTGTGTTTTCCATTTTTTTTCATTCCAACACCGCCGACTCGAGCCTAAAACGTACCGCTTCATCATAAATAATGTTTATCTATAATCAGTCGCTGCCACATGTGCAAAGAACGTAAGAAATTGTAATAAGAATTACAATAAATGAGAATCAAGAACGTTATTCAGATAATTTTGTGAAATACACAATGCCATTTAGAAAGTGGTCAAATGTAACGTATGTTATATAAATAAATATGACATACGTTAGATATTTTGTCTTTATTCATTAAATGTTTTTCCCGACCGACCGACCCATGTTCAGAATTTGGTGGCTACGTGAAACACATAAAATAAAATAATGCCCCAAGCGAAACAAATCCTATTCATGTGCGCTCTGTAAAACGATCGGTCCACGGTATGCTGGTTGCTGGGGAACACTTTTCAATTGCATACCACCTGTTATGAATAGGTCATCCATACATATTTTATGAGCGCTTCGTATTATAGCGTAAATAAACGCTTCCGGTGTCGCCATTGATGGTTGTCGTCTGCAAGATCTAACATGGTGTCAGAAGCCAGTAGAATCTATGCCTAACGAAGCCCATCTGCAGTGTAAATAGCCGTTAAGTATTAAGTGCGAAGTCGGAGGTACAGTTAGAACATTATCATGGATAATGACAGTTGAATTCATCCCAAGATGTGTTGGGGCAGCGGCAATCATGCTCAAGCATGATACGTACGTACTTTGATAAACTTGAAGAATACGTAGTCCCGAAGACGCGAATGTTGTGTTTTCAAGATAGTTTTCAAGTTCCAAAGTAGAATACAGTCGAAATTAGAAAAAATCGAGGTATTTGAGACAACGTTACGTGTTTTCGCTCGTGGCTATAGTTACTACGACTACGTGGAGATGATACGTTACAGGATAGTTTTTGGAACTAAGCACGTGAAGGTACGTGAAAAGTCGATAGAAGGGGGATGAGCGTTCACATTAGAGAGAGTATCAGAAATTGCTCAGACTTACAGTTACAAAGAAATTTACAGAAACAGTTACAAAGTATGTCAGGAACACAACGTGCCAATGCAGTGAGAACCTACACTGAAACCGGAGTTTGAGACCTAGAGGGTTGCAAAAGACATTCACACACACAAGATAAACCAAAAAGTGAGTGTTACAGATGTGGATATAAATATTTCAGTGAAGGGAAATGTCCAGCTGAAAACAGCAAGTGCAGAAAGTGTGGACATCTTGTGCCGATCTAGACTTAAGACAAGGCCTAAGAGGAATAAATACAGGAAACAGAAGAAGTAGAGGATCAAGTCGACAAGTATTACGCTGAAGAAAAACCAAGTGATAGAGAAAAAACGATGAACTTTTCGAAGTGGCTAGAAGACTTGAATGTGAACAATAACAAAGTGACATTTAAGTTTAACACTGGTGCGAAATGTAATGTTTTGCCAAAATCTGTGTTAGATAAAGTGTTCAAAGGACCACTGGTTAAGCCAGACGTTGTTAGAAACATCAAAGGATATACAGGTCACAGAATGCATATCGAAGGTTAAGTTACGCTGAGAGGTCGTGACTCAACGCATGATATCAAGTTCAATGTTGTAGATGTGGATGAAATTCTTGTTCCAGGCGGTGCTACTTGGACTGGTTGAACGTGTTTACACAGTGGAAGAACCAGTACAGATGGACAATGTACTGGAAAAATATAAAATCGTGTTCGAAGGTCGAGGACCATTACCTGGAACACATTCTATAAAGCTGAAACCAGACCACACAACTGTAATATACCCACCACGCAAGTTATCAGTTGCACTTCGAGAACCAGTTAAAACAGAACGGGATCGAATGGAACAGACAGAAAGATCCTACAGACAGGGTGAACAGCATGACAGTTGTTGTCAAACCGAACAAATGTCAGAATCTGCATTGATTCTTTGGATCTGAATACAGCTATAAAGAGAGAACATTTCCCTCTGAGGACGACAGAAGATGTAGTTGCAAACATGCCACAGGCAAGAGTATTTTCGAAACTGGACGCAGTTAGATTTTGCAAGATGAATAATCATCGAAACCTTGTACGTTTAACACCCCATTTGAACGTAATTGGTTTAAGAGGTTACCCTTTGGTATAAAGTCAGCACCAGAGATATTCCAGCAGATAATATCACACATGGTAGAAGATCTACCAGGGACTGAAGCAACCATGGACGACAAGATGTACATAATCAAAGACTGATTACGTTGCTTCAGTGAGCTATAGAGTTCAATCTGAAATTGAACAGACAAAAGTGTCAGTTCAGGGTTGACAGAGTGAAGTATGTGGGACAGGAGAGGTTTGATACCCGATCCTGACAAAGTGAGAGCAGTACTTGGGATCATTTATTGGTTTCATGAAGTATCTTGGCAAACTCCTCCCAAAGTTGTCGGATGTCAGCTAACCATTGAGACATCTTACAACCAAAGACGTTGAATTGAAATTTATGACTACTCAGGCTCCAGTGTTGGTTTTCTATGACCCATAGCTACCACTTACCTTGTCAGTTGATGCAAGCTCTACAGGTATTGGTGCAGTTATCATGCAGCAAGGTAAACCGATTGCCTAGGCATCCCAAGTTCTTACAGACTCACAGACCAGATATGCACAGATTGAAAAAGAAATGCTTGCAATATACTTCCGATGTCAAACATTTCATCAGTATGTGTACATGAGACAGGTAGATGTCGAAACAGAACACAAGCCATTGCAAGCCATCTTTTCGAAGCCGTTGCATGATGCCCATTCCGATTACAGACAATGTTGATGCTGTTACAACGATGTGATCTTAGAGTTCAGTTCAGACCTGGACAAGAACTTTGATTGCAGATCACCTGAGCAGATCCTATCTGAAGGATGTTGAAACACTAGACTTACCTGAGATTGAAGTGAATCTTATTGCATACTTGCCAGTTTCAGAAGGAAAGTTACAAGAGCTTCAGAAAGCCACATCTGAAGATGAAGTTTTGAGTGATGTGAGAGATTATGTGGAAAATGGTTGGCAAAGTTTACCAACAGAAGTAGATGTCCAGACCAGACAGTATTGGGCATACAGAGAAGAGATTACAAGTGTTGATGGACTTTAGTTCAAGAATCAAAAGCTCATTGTGCCAAGCAGTCTTAGAAAAGACATGCTTTCGAGGATTACATGAATCTCATCTTGGAATGGTCAAGTGCAAAAGTAGAGCACGTCGTGAGACATTGTTTAGCCTGGAATGGCTAGTGATATTGAGAAAGTAGGTTCTCAGTGTGACATTTGTGCAACAATATCAGAACTAATCCGACGGAACATTTGATCTCGTCAGAGGTACCAGACAGAACATGGGCTAAAATAGGCACAAACTTATTTGAATTCAAAGGAAATTACTTCACAAAATAGCCTGTCATGTCTTTGTTGGAAGATACATCCAGCAAGAGAGTGATTTGTCACCTAAAAAGCCAATTTGCTAAATATGGCTTGCCTGAGATTGCTATCAGTGACAATGGACCTCAGTACAGCAGTGAGGAATGTATACAGTTTTCCAGGACTATTTTATCAACCATGTCACCTCAAGCCCGAAGTTTCCTCAATCCCATGGTCAGACAGAAAGGACTGTAAACACTTTGAAGTCTATACTGAAGAAGGCTAAAGATCTATACAAAGGTCTTCTAGACTACAGAATCTCTCCTATTGAAGGGATCAAAAAGTCACCTGCTCATATGTTTTGGGGAGGAGGGCGTCGGTGTCAGTTGCCGCAATCCTTCTCAGATCTGAAAGTTCAGTCAGAGACAGACAGTCATTCAGGAATAGACAGGCTACTGAACAGAAATATCATAGTGGTCAGAAAGACTTGACTCAACTGGAGTCTTGGAAGTAGTGTCGTGATGAAAGACAGGTCGCACTTACAGAAGAAATCGCCGTGACCTAAAAGTGTTTCGTGGTATCAATTGCAACTTGCAAAGCTCTCCCAGCTACTAAGATGCGAGACTAGTCACGAGACTATGAATGATTATCGTGCAGTTTAATGTGCTTCACAAGTTCTTGAAATGTTTACCAAGTGGAATTTTATTAAATGAACATGTTGAAGAAACTTCAATTCTGGATTTTCTGTTCAGTGAAACGTGTTGCTGATATCCTTGTAGTTATTGTGGTAAATGAGAACCATGGTATTTCTGTACCAAGAGACTTTAATCAATAATTTTGAAGTTTTATGTTTTTAAGAATTGAATGTCATAATTATGGTATGGGTTTATTGTAAGATTTTTGTTAACACTGTAGCTTTAAAGCATCAAAGGACAATGGGCGTTATCGTCACAGTACGGGTCATCCATACATATTTTATTAGCGCTTCGTGATGGAGCGGAACTGCGCCTGCGTACATAACACTTCCGGTATCGTCATTGCTTGTTTGCGTCTGCAAGATCTAACACCACCTAGCGATGAAACAAATTGTATTAATGAGTGAGTGAGTTTAGTTTAGTTTTACTACGCTTCCACCATAATCTCGACGTTGGATATCAGAAATAGGCTTCAAACATGGTATCCGGCCTGGGTCTTCAGAGTGACTTGCGAACCCTTAACCACTAGACCACCCGATCCAGTTCCATCCAGCGCAGGGTAACGGCGGGGACACCAAAAATTTTCACACATTGTAGTGACCTGCGTGACGAGCCAACGCTTTAACCACTAGGCTACTCCACCGCCCTCCCAGTTCCAAGAAGTTACCCTCCTCTACGACTAATCCGACCTACTATATAATCCGGACAAATGAATCGGTCCCGAGCCAGTCCATAATAGACAGATTCCACTGTACCATTGTGGATATTCTGAGAAGAATGTGTATGGTACAGAATAACCAGGAATCAGAATTAGGCCGTGTGTGAGTTTCGAACCAACCCAAGATCAATGGTTTTTGTAGTGGTGGTGACAGATTATTCGTCATTTGAGCCACCTCCAAGTTTCGGATTCAAACAACGCGAAATGAGTAAATACGGGTTACTTATTCTATTCATCTAGTATTAATAGAAACTATGTACGTGGATAAGCTACCATACTGTCGTGCATGTTAGTGGATCACGCGGAGACCAACCTGGTTCCCATAGAGGCGTTACCTCCTCCAGTCGTCGGGTGAACGCTTCCTGGTTGTCACGGTATTGACGTAGAGTCGTCTTGTTGGCACCAAGGGACACCAGCCCGCCCTGTAAATATACGGTAGTAGCCCATTAGTCATACGTCCATACGACCACTAGTCATACAGAACGAACCGGATTAATTAAAACAACAAGGGTCATGCTCCCTACAATAGACTCGTCCGTTTTTTGTGCGATGGGACTTTCTCATCATTTCATAGTATTTCAGTGATGAAATGATGTCAAGAATATGTGGCCAAAGTACGGAGGTGCTGAGGTGAGGTGAAATTGGGTTTTACGTCGTGCTTGAGAATATTTCGCTCATATGACGACGTGCATGCGTGTGTATGTGTATGTGCGGCTGCTTGTACTAGCCAAGACTTAAAAGCTGGTTTTATAGTGCTAGCCCACTGAGATACCATGCCGCAGTGAAGCATGAATACCCCACTCAGACTCATTATACTGACTCCGAGCCGACAAGTCCTCGTTGTATCCATTAATGCCGAGCGCCAGGCAGGGACCAACAAGTACCATATTTTAACGTATTTTGGTATGACGCGGTCGGGGATCGAACCCGCGACATTCCGCTCTCCGGGCGGACGTTCTAACCACTACACCATGGAGGCGGTCCCAAAGTACGGAAGACATGTTTGTATATGATGAAATGGTTTATATATTTATACTTGTTATGAGTATAAATACACTGTGCTAATGAAATGATATGTCAAAGAGTATGTGACCAAAGTACTGAAGAAATGCTTTATATATTTATACTTGTTATAAGAATAAATAAACTCTAGCTAAATTCTTTTTGTTTCGTTTCATATGGGTCATTCCATTTACCTACAGAAGTACTAAGGGCTCATATGTAAGGGCAATCAACCATGACATGTGTTTATTTAAGACGTATGACTAACGGGACGTATGACTAATGGGACTAACGGGACGTATGACTTACGGGACGTATGACTAATGGGGTGGATACGTAGGATACATACACGTTGTGCACGTGTTACCTCGGAAAGCACCACTCCCAACTTTTCAGATATGTAAAATACATACTCGCTGTGTACCACAGGTGATTCTTTAAACACACCCAATAGGCCTACTTACAGGATGATCATAAAAAATACTGAAAACCGGATTACTCTGTAAACACGCCCGATGGGTCCATCCATTTCAGATACAGTGAGTGAGTGAGTTTAGTTTTACGCCACTTTTCGTAATATTCCAGCAATATCACGGCAGGGAAAACCAGAAATGGGCCTTACACATTGTTCCCACATGGGGAATCGAACCCGGTCTCCGGCGTGACGAGCGAACACTTTAACCACTAGGCTACCCAACCTTTATACAGACATCTCCTGGAACTGTTACCATCCTGTATATACACTTAAAAGCTTGTAATTACTTGTATATTTGTGTCCATTGATTGTCCTTCATCATGTTTCAAAGAATTATAAGAAACTGGGTCGGCCTACCTGGTGTCCTAGTAGTTGTTCCACGGTTATCTCCCCTTTGCCATTTTGCGAGAACCCAGGCCAATAGTGGGCCACTGGCTTCTTGTAGTCCAGCCATCCCCTGGATGTAACCATGGTAACAACACGTTGCAAGTCATACCTCATTAACGATGACGATAAACATGTTATGTGATCAGATGGGATGTTATTCATTTGCCAAATTATGAAACAAAAAATTAATTTTCGTCTGAATTGGTCTCAGACGAAAATCAATGTTTGTTTCATAGTTTGCCGTATGAATAAGTGGACAAAGCAAATCTGACATTGAATGAATTCTGGGTAATAGACTGCCATGATGGACATGAACAGACGAAATATACATTTCAGGTTAATAGTCTACTCTACCATCATCAAGACCTAACAATATATAACCATGATGAGTCTATAAGATAGCAATGTGCCAGACCCCTTAGCCTGAGATCTACTCAGATACGATATTTCTCTGCGCGAAGTTCAACCCATCTGGAGAAGATCGAGTCAGGCGAAATTGCTGATCAGCCAATCAACGTCAAGGCTTCTAAATGTTTTGTCTGTGGGCGGTGGGTAGCTTAGTGGTTTAGGCGTTCGCCCGAAGACCCGGGTTCGATTCCCCTTGTGGGTACAATGTGTGAAGCCCATTTCTGGTGTCTCCCGACGTGATATTTGCTGGAATATTGCTAAAAGCGGCGTAAAACTAAGCTCACTCACTCACTTTGTCTGTGGTTTCTACATTTCTAACACGAACAGAGACGCACAGTTCTGAATGGAAATAAATGTTGCCCCAACCATTATGTCGCTGCCAGTATTTTATACATCATGTTGTTTCTGAGCGCCATGGCATTTCTTTTGTAAAAGTATTTTTATTGAGGTTGCCATGGTAAAGAAATCGAGCCAAATCCTACACAACCCGATTTCTTATTTGTTCATGAAGTCCCGCAGTCCAGTTCCGTACAAAGTTCACCTGTGACAAGCTGCTACTGAAGGGTTTGACAGATTATCACGCAGAGAAGTATCCTTGTGGAGAATGGTATATTGTTTAGATCCTAAATACGTATGTTTGTCTAATTAGCAATATGCACAAATATGTTCATAATATATCATAATTTCTGTTTAGATCTACGCCGTGCAATGTTTCTTTCATATTGTCCTAAGTAGATGGATAGGGTTCGGTCAATCTCCTAATAATTCGCTCATCTTATATTGAAATATATATGTGAATGCATGTATTCACACACACGCACATGCACATGCACACGCACGTACAAGCACACGCACACAAACATAACCATAGATATCTTCGTGTGTTTATTCTTTTGCCAGTAAATATTGTCATTTATTGTTTTTTAAAATTCACATAAATGGGTGTTTTATGTTTTCATCCGGATTACGTCTCTTTATCCTATCGGGCACATTCAGTCCTCTGTCAAACTAACTTCAGTGTTCAAAGGGTTAAAACTAAAACATTGGTATTCACTACACGTCTTGCGGCGGCGGTTCCACTTACTTGTCTACCATCCTAGCCACGGTGACAGCGGCCACGCCCTTCGTAACTGAAAATACAACACTCATGGTGTCTCTGGACCATTGTCTTCCAGCCTCCTCGTCAGCATATCCTGCCCACATGTCGACCACAACCTCCCCACGGTGATACACAGCGAACGCCGCACCCAGCTCCTTTCCGCTTTCCACATTTTCTCTGTTAAAAAGAATAAGTGAGTGAGTGAATAAATATTTAACGTCACATCGGAAATATCTCAGCCATATCGTGACGAAAACAATTTATACAATAAAATTACATTTTGAAGAGTAAAACGTGTGGACGATGAACAGTAAAAATACTAGAATATCACAGATATGAATATAAAACTAGCATGTAAAACTAAAACATTTATTTGAAGAAGACAATACAATATAAATCACGGGCTATAGATTGCCAACAACTGGTTATGAAGAAGACTAATATGAGGGATGATGGCTGCACCTAGAGCTCCTCGATGTCTTCTTCATTTGTTATTGTTGTTGTTGTTGTTGTTGTTGTTGTTGTTGCTGCTGCTGTTGTTGATGTCTGTTGTTTTGTTTTCTTCTTTATCTTATTCTGCTTCTTCATCACCAAGGTTACATATATAATCGTTCATTATACAACGAACGGGATGCGTCATGAAAGAATCAGGACAATAACGTATCATTACATGCTAAGGGTTCGGTAATTAGCAGAGGAGATTTCGCGAACAAGAATATAGTGTCTGTGTATTTCCCCCCACACCTTTGAGGGCATGTATTTAACTAACATACCCACCTCCGGTAGAGGATTTACTGACTGAATTCGATTTCAAAAGCCTGGACGTGTGTGGTTTGCATGGTGTGAGTGTTTGGGGTGGGATATGTGTGTGCGTGCATGTGTGTGTATATTTGTGTGTCTGCATGTGTCCGTCCGTGTGGCATCATGTGTGCGTGTGTTTCTCTCTGTGTGTGCGCGCGTGCGTGTGTGTGTGTGTGTGTGTGTGTGTGTGTGTGTGTGTGTGTGTTGGGACGGGTTAAGAAGAGGGCGAGGAAGGAGTAAAGTCAGACAAGTGAGTCAGAGACTAAGCATTGATAGAATATCAGCATGACGAAATAGTCTTCTAGCTCCAAGGTCAACCACCAACAAAACAATTTTGCGACCGTCTATTCGATATGGAATCCTAGATGCCATTGTAACCCTGTAACTTGTTCCTAAGTTGACGTTTGTCTGTTAAGGCATCATATTTTCATATATCAAAATGGATACTATCGATCTACGGTACATGTTACCTGCATTTTAATTGGATATGTATACCTCAAAACAGGTTGCGTTCTCAAAATATATAAATATTAGACACCATTGTTACAGTTGTTCAACAGCCACGATGTCGCGCATTCATATAAGATGCCAACCCGGCAAGTCCCTACCAGCATACCATAGTCACAAGCAGTCCGATCCGCTTTAAGCCAGGTCGGCAATGTTTACATTGTTGTACAAAGAGCAGTGCCCCTGGTACAAAGTCCGGCTGTACAACCGGTTAGTGTTTAAGGTGAAATGTTACAGAATATACAACCGGCTATTAAGAGAGTATACAACAGAATTCATGGATCTTCTTGTCACCTGAACGTCATAACTTACCTTAGGGTGTCAGAAACTTTGTGAAACTTCGGATGACAATAACCATCGGCATGAGGCTTCAGTTTCGGTGAGAACAGTCTAGGCAGATACGTGAACGCTAAGGTAAAGAGGAGGAGAGTTACTCCCCAGCGTAACAGCCCCATTGTCAACCACAAAGTCACTCAATCTATGGGAGGTTAAGAGTACGCTACTCAGAGTGAACTGGATTCCTTTAACTGTTCAACCTGCTGGGCACAGTCGCAGTGGGATAGGGACACTGTTCAAGTGATTTCAATATGATATAAATAGGTACTCGTGATGTTGTCGGCAAACCAGTCTACTGTCACACAAGGCAGGGTAGAAAGCGGTGGGCGTGTCTGGGGTGTAAATGTCCTGTTTATACAAGTCCTGAATTCATACAAGGAGGAGCAACAATTCATTTGTTTACGAATATAGGAATTTAAAAGCTCTCTAACAGAACGCGTGACTGTAATGAACACACGAGAGGAAGGTGGTCGGACGCTGACCTAGTTGCAATGTCAAAGCGTCGACAGGGTGAAAGCTTGTGGAATCACAGGACGGATTTCGTCAGGGATACTCCACCATTGACAATATATTTATTTTACAATCAGTCATTCAACGGTGTTTTTCGAAATTATGGAAGGTTTTGATAAAGAGGGGTTTTTTTTTTCCAAAACTGTTAAACGCAGTACAAGCTATATACAATCGAGTACGTTCATGTGTTAAGTCTAATAGTATGTATTCGGATATGTTTGACTGTGATTTGGGTGTACGACAGGGTTGTTTCCTTAGCCCATATCTGTTCTCTATCTGTATTAATGAATTAGCACAGGAAATCGAACCCACGTGTAAACCCGGTATCCAGCTGCTTCATCCAGAGATGATTGAACTGTTCACATTATTGTTTGCCGACGATGTCATTTTGATATCTGACACAGTCTTTGGTCTCCAGAAATGAATAGACATTCTTGAGTCATATAGAGGATATTATATTCGTGCCCATGTCGTACGGTGTTTACTACACCAGTGCCTAAATGTTAGTATTCCCCGAGCGAGAGCGAGGGATATACCGATATTTAGGCACGAGTGTCGTAAACAAAGTATGATATTGGCACGAATATAATATTCTGTTTATTACCGAAGTCGTCAAATTGAGGAAAATAGACCCAAATCTACTTTGAAACATAGGTTTGAATAGAAACCATTCATATGCTTGCGTGTAAGCGCTTCCTTGGAGTGAAGACATCAACACCAACTTACACAGTATTGGGTGAATGTGGCAGGTACCCTTTGTATATTTTTGCATTTAAACGTTCATAAACTTTTGGATTAGATAATTTATTTATGCCTGATGTAAGATATCCAAAGGAGTGTTATAACATGCTTTTACAAGCAGCTAATAATGGTAAAAATAATTGGGTTTCCAAATTGAAGTACTTATTGTTTCGACTTGGATTTGGCTATGTATGGGAGTCACAAACAAAATGTAGTAAAGAATCTTTTATCGCGGAACTTATGGCAAGATTAAAAAGTTCGTTTGAACATGACTGGCACTCCTCTCTTTGCAGCAGTTCTAAAACCAGAAATTATACTTTCTTTAAAGGTACCTTTGGAACGGAATTATATCTCAAACGATTCACAATTGTAAAATTCCGCGTGGCCCTGGCGCAATTTCGTTGCAGTTCCCTCCCTGCAGTGGACTCAAAATAGAAACAGGCAGATATGTTAATATTTCTGTAGATAAAAGGGTGTGCACTGTGTGTAATAAAGGCTACATCGAAGATGAATGCCATTTTTTTATGGTTCGTGTTCGAAATAAATACTGCGTGAGAAGTACCTACCTACTAAATTTATATCATACCCTACGCGTGATAGATATAACATGCTTTTGGCATCAACGGATGTTAATGTCGTTAGAAAGCTGGGCATGTATATCTTTATGCAAACTGTTTCAGAATAAACTGTTGCTTAATTATTATTATTACTCTCTTCTCTCTCTCTCTCTCTCTCTCTCTCTCTCTCTCTCTCTCTCTCTCTCTCTCTCTCTCTCTCTCTCTCTCTCTCTCTCTCTCTCTCTCTCTCTCTCTCTCTCTCTCTCTCTCTCTCTCTCTCTCTCTCTCTGATGGTTTCATACATACATAATTAAAATTCCTCCTCATGCACTTTCCTACATCTCATAAAAGTGCGCCCCTGTATCTGCTGCATGCACACCCATGTGTATGTTGCATACCCTCTTGTGTACCCGTGGATTCTCTTCCGTCAGTTGAAAGGCGCGCACTACACTACTTTAACCAGTGTTAAAGCCATCTTTTTAAATGGTTCGAGTCTGACCTGATCTTGATCACATGTTCCCATACATTGTTTTAATTCGTTAAAAAATGCATCTGACCTTGAACACGTGTGTCGTGATGGGAAAAATACCGAGCAGCACTGATCAGTGATTCATCCCTTTTCAACTGTTTTGTCGATTGTTCTAATGTAAACTTATCTGTTCTGTCGTTCATGGCGACTGTGTTCTGTCTCTACCTCGCGATATCTACGACAAAAACAGATCTCTCCATTGATTTCCTTGCAACTCGAGACATTCTGTCTCCATTGCTTTCCTAACTGTAATCAGAGAATAACCGCAAATCTAAATAAGGAATCTGATGTAAATTTCTAATGGTTTAAGGGATGTATTTTTACCTTATGACCTTTACTGTAATCTGGACTCTTGAGAATAACCGCAAGAGGGCGGGGGCGGTGGGGTAAATCTAAATAAGCCCATTTCTGGTGTCCCCGCCGTGATATTGCTGGAATATTGCTGCGGCGTAAAACTAAACTCAGTTCTAATGGTTTAAGGGTGGTAGTTTTACCTTCTGGTGTCCTGACAAGCGTTTAACATCTGTCGGCTTGATCAATAGCGTTACCTATCTGAGTTCCAGTCGCCCATCCAGACGCATCTTCTAACAAAGGAGGGGCAATGGGGTGGCCTAGTGGTTAAAGCGTTCGCTCGTCACTCCGAAACCCTGGTTCGATTCCCCACATGGGTACAATGTGTGAAGCCTATTTCTGGTGTCCCCCGTCGTGATATTGCTGGAATATTGCTAAACTAAACTCACTCACTCACTCTAACAAAGGATACCTGTATGTCAGGACTGAATAACGCATGTTTTCTGTTTGTACATGCTTTGGGGTCCTATGTTTAATAAATGAGTCCTTGTCTTCCTCCTCTCGTGTATTATTACCAACGATCAATTTCCGCCAAATAGTTGAAACTTCATGTCAACATGAACTTCTAGTATTCCAGTCTATGGTGTGTTTGGCTATTCGTTTACACGTTCATCAAGTTTTAACCCACGACAACTCGCACTCAAAGTGCAATTGAGTGTTTCATTTAAACACAGGTGTAAAAGATTGTGTTATTATTATTTATCTATGTCAAACAAAGGCTTCTTAAGCGATTATTCGGGACGTTAACGTCATAAAAAAGGAAGGAAAAGGCGTTTATTCATAAATGATTGACAACATATCTCGCATTTATATCAGTTCAATATTGTTATCCACAACTTAGTCCTGTAGGTTCTGGGTAACAATAACCTATGTTGTTGTGGGTTTTTTTCATTAGAACATCTATCTGCAGGGGCGGTGGGATAGCATAGTGATTAAAGCGTTAGCTCTTTACGCCGAGTTTGATTCCCCACATGGGTACAATGTGTGAAGCCCATTTCTGATGTTCCCCACCGTGATATTGCTGGAATATTGCTACAAGCGGCGAAAAACTAAATTCACTCACTCACTCACTCTTACTGGATCGGGAAATCAGGTCATAACAGGTGACTTATTGGGTCCCGTGATCAGGTAAGCTTAGTTTTTTTACAGACAATTAAACATATTCTATTACAAGCAAAGGCTTCGAAAATTCTGTCTTTAACTTATGGTCCATTACAGCAAAAAGTCTTCATTCGTGGTCACAGCAAGGGAACCCAGGCGCGCTGCAGTTAACCGTTCGCATGACAGAAATTTATGATCGTGGTTCGAATCCAGCTTCACCCGAATTGTTTCTGGTTGTGTCATCACCATATGTGTGCTCGTGAGTCTTACTAATGTTATAAACGTCTAAACGCCTGCATGTCGGGCTTTCCTCTGCACATTGAGCTGACACGCGTTGAAACAGAGAAAAGCGGCGTTAAATCAACCATGTATCATTTCGGTAAAATCTCAACCATTAAACCAAAAGTATAAACATTTCTATTACTTGACATCGTCTTGGAGGTAGTATAAACTCATCCACGTCTGTGCCTGCTCGTGAACGTCACACACATTTAAGCGTATTTGTTCAAGGTCAAGGTCGTGTGTCAGACACAAGGTGCCTTCCGCGTCCGAGTACACGATTGGTCCAACTGAGTTGGCTCCGTGCCAGTAGTGTTCAGAGTTAAAGCAATATTCCTCGTTTATAACAAGATTCGTGGATTTCCTATCGGGAACAATACACCGTCCTTTATGGCGAAACCTCCCGTTTGAGTCTATAGTAAAATGGTCCTCAGGGACGATCATGAAGCCTCCACACTTCTTCTTTGTCGGTGCGAGAGTGTTATTCTCAACAGTTAAACAACGAGAAGTGTTTATGTTTAGAAATTCACCAAAATGTATGCTGTTGTTGGCAGGAACCTCTGCTTCAGGAAAAATGTGCTCCAGGTACCATGTGAAGTTCTTGCATTGGAGCTGTCGCCTTAAAGATCGTCGTTCGTCAATTGTAACCATCTCCTGCTGTGAGAAGACGGGAAGAAACCCGAGCATGCCTCTTATAGATCTCTCTACAATATGTTTATACTCGTCCATCCACACATTTGCTACTCGCAACAGGTTCTTGGCCAGAATCACCAGCGCCGGTCCGACGAAGGAGTACGGTAGAGGTCTGTACAGATGACCCACTACCGAGCAGGAATGGTTTCAACGCGTCCCCCGCACATCCAAGTTCGGAACGCCAGCTCGAAGTGTTCTCCGCCCCATATCTCGAGGTTGGGATCGAACCCACCCATGGCGAAGAAGGTCTCCCTGTTGACAGCTATGGCACAGCCGGCGAGGCCCGGGAAGGGGTAGGGCTCGCTGTCGGTACTCCGTATCTGTGAGAAGTAGGGGGGCAGGGCATACCAGGCAAACCTGCAACATTGTATTACTTACATTATTGTTGTTTAGCGCTATACAATATATTTCAACGACAAACACCTTTTTGGCGAAGGTGCTGGATCTACGTAAATACTTCGAGTTATCCGAGCTTCGACACAACCACAAATATGAAATAATGAATAAATATGGAATACGCCCCCATCTTTTACTTCGAGAACCGTAAGTTTACCACAGCGGTGTATGACTATGTGACCTGCAAATTGCGCACCTTGTCCGTGGGTTTCCCATTACCTTAGTGGAACCAATGAAACATATGCACGCATACAGATGGGTACATTTTAGACATTCTTAGTTGGATCCTCTGGACGCGTATTATCAAAACACGTTAAACAGATGCTACTTGTTGTTACCCACCCGCCATTAAGGCATAAAACACGGTCCGGTGCACATGGAGTCTAAGGCGACGGATTTGTTTAGAACAATTGAGTTTTTAGTACGTGAGTGAGTATGATTTTACGCCGCTTTTTAGCAATATTCCAGCGGGGGACACCAGAAATGGGCTTCACACATTGTACCCATGTGGGGAATCGAACCCGACCTTCAGCGTGACGAGCGAACGCTTTAACCACTAGGCTATCCCACCGTCCCTAATATATGTGCCATCGTTTTATGATTGTAGATTCAAATGCCAAGTTTGACCTTGATGATGATTCCTCATCGGCATCCCGTATTTTAATCGCTTACAGCTGCATCACTTGGGGTTAACATCCCACATAAAACAGACACGGTTTCATTTTACTGAAATATGTTCCAGTTGTTGTCATTAAATCGCTTTCTCTTGGAGTTACCTCCCTTACCTCAGATCCCAGCCGAACCCCGGTCTCAACTGACGCTCCTTTACCCCGGCCTCCACACGTTCAAGCGCTGGTACCAGGGGCTGCAACACTTTATTGGGAAATCTCCTGAGTCTGTCAACCAAAGGCTCCAGCCAACCAGGAGAACAACGCATGTGTGCATCAAGAAACACAATTATCTCCCCTTTCGCAACCTTAGCACCCGCCAACCTTGACCTTACTAAACCTTCCCGACGTGAATTTTTTAAGACTGTTATTCGTGAATCTAATATTCCTAAGTATTCCTCCAAATGGGGATACGTCAGAACACTGAAGTCATCGACTAGTATTATTTCTGTAAGTAGGTCGGAAGGAGAGTTTTTAATCACGAGGTGAATGTGACGTAGAAGCATCGTCAGAGCCTCGTTATGAAACGCAGTGACGACGGTAACATCAGGCATGCCAGTCACTCTGTAACGCACCTGCTTACACCAATTAGTCCTTGGATCAGGAATATTTTCGTCTATAGGGTTGCGGTCAAGCTGACTCACGTTAAAACCGAAGGATATATTACTTGGAGGGCTGATATTCCTCCTTCATATGGCGCAGGAGTTTCTCCAGAATTGATGTCTTGGTAGCCTCACTGTGGAAAGTAAATAAAAATAGATCCGATAAAACACTTCTTCAGGCTGAGCTCACATTTGGGTCACGGGTCCCGCAGGCGTGATAGAAACTTTCTGAGTTTGAATCCTACATCTGCCTTGATTATATTCCTTAATTTCTCAGCACTACATCCTGCAATAGTCTTAGGACTTCTATTAAAACAAGGCCCGTGGGTTACACCACGTGGTATACGCCTAAAGTACTCATGGTTTAGGGCGTTTATTTGTTTATTACTTCATTAAAATACGTAGTTTTCACAAATATTAAACAACTATGTTTTCCCCAACTAGGCCTTTTAGATTGGTCCTCTAATCATCATCCAAAATCCCTTAATCAGTTATTTTGTACATCAATTAGGATAAGAGAAATAGAGGATGAATGGTATTTGACTTTTATCATAAAATAAATTATGTACGCGAACCTATATGGAAAGTACATCCCAGTTGTATACTATAGCTTGCATCAGGGGCCTACCTTTTGACTGCCGAAATTTCAAGGGGTAAAATGACACGATTTGCTCTCCTGTAAACTCATCCATTTCGGATGGTTTTACAAAAAGTGTTAAAAACTAAAGTTGGGAAAAACGACAGTCATAGAATATTTAACAATGAAACTTAAGTTGTGTGCCAGAAAACAAAATATTTCTATTTCCGTGAATTCCTGCATCCCATCACACATATCTCCCACACGTCGTGATGCAACATTTTAACCGAAATACTGTTAAACGAGACATAAACCCAACTCACTCACTCACTCACTCACATCCGATTTGTTTTGGTTTGATTACATGGTTTTCATACTGAAGGCAATATATGCTTGCTGAAACATACTATAAATATGGCTCCACACAGGACGTCATTGACAGAAGGGAAATTTCCTACTGCAAATAATTTTCATACTAATATTCTATCAATATTCACTAGTTCTTATATGTGAGAATATATGTTATTATAACATGCATGGACCTCGTCAATCCATACTAGAGAAAAGCGCTACGTGAAATCGTCTGAAATCATACTTGTGCCGACTGACGAGTCACTGATAAGGATTTCTATTCCTTTGGACATTAATTAGGGAGCTACCAAGTGCAAGACATGCATTATGCCTGTGTAAAGACAAATGACTGGCTAGCAAAATTTGGGAACTATTTCGCACACTGTTTTCATGTGTAACTCGTTGAAAAGAATACCAAACTTAGCTAGTACGTAACAAACATCTTAGTGCTAAGAGTATGTTAAATGGGAGTTACGATGGATTGTGCAAGCGGGTTATGGTTGATTATGTAACTATTAGTGGTGTTCTAATTAATTGAAATAATCGAAGATTGGTCGCAGTGACCAATCGACCAAGCAATCGATCACATTTTCTCATAATGGAACACAAGCGATTTTGGAACTACTGTTCCAGTGTTTGAAAAACTTGACGATAGAACATATCATAGAAGTTGACATGGCCTGAAAACCCGTTTAATGTTTAGAAAACTCACTTCACTTACTGAAAAGTCATGACTGAATATTTCTTGAAGACTCCAGGAAGTTTATGTTCATGATATATTAACCGTCACTATAAAGTAGCAAGTTGCATCATTTTACATTGGATGTGACATTTCCAAATGCAATTTGCAAGTTTCTAGCTAAAAGAAAAAAATAACAAAAACCAAAGCAACAAAACACAGAACCATGTTATACTTATCTACGAAAACAACCTGATAAGAAAATCTGAAAAATGACGCTAAACAATTTCTTTCGATGATTTTTTGTTGGTAATGAACCAATCATCAATTGTGAGATTTCAACCAATTCCCAAAACTAGTGACTACCCAGATTACATTGATGCTGTTGCTGAAGCAGTGTCGCCTATGTTGTTACTGTTAGTTTGCCGGCTGGCGTATTTCGCCAAAGCGCAAAACGTATCTGATGTTAGGTTGTCGTGTCGTGATATCACTGCAAAATACCAAGTCACACACTTTTGACACAAACGGCAGCGCTGAACACTTTGCTTTAGTCACTTACCTCTGAAATGAGTTATCCCCCTTGCCTTTCTCGTGGTTCTGGCCTGTGTTCCGGTTACTTGGTTTAGTGTCTAATTCCGTAGGTGGGAAACGAATTTGAACCTTCTCCTCTTGGTGAACCGAAATAATCCGATCCCCTAAACGTTCACTATATTTGGTGAAACTAACATTATACCCCAGCATATACACAGACCATAGCGAAACGCACACAACAACAGCCATCAACGGCTTACGCGTCGCCATTGCTAACTTGAATGTTTTACTTGAAATCAGTGACTGGTAGTGATGCATTTCATGACACAGTTACATAAAAACCTTCCATGTCGGACACAATGTAACAATTGTTAATGAATCAACGGAAAATGAAAGCGATATCTGTTATCGATATCAATTCAACGATGGAGTCACAGCTGTGCAATAGCAAGGGAGATAACTCAACACTCCCACACCTACTGCCAAGAGTCAACCGTCTGTCTGATAACAAAGAGAGATGGTGTTGTATTTATTTTCACACAGATTCTGCATATTGCGATTGTCTTTAGATAGTGACCACCTGTTCTTATTACCTAAACATACCCACGAACTGAATCCACATTGAATTCATCACGTCTTCCATGGAGACCATTGATCCCTCTCGAACCCTATAACATTCCTGCTTGTTGTGGAGAAGGTAGATTTCAAATGGCCCGCTTCTCCAGGATTCTACTCATTGTTGTCTGCCTTGTAGCCTGGAATGTTATCAAAACAGGGTTTGATATTTTCACTATTTACTCATCCAGATCATTCCTCAATGACGTACAAGAGAGGACCGGCATAGAAAATGGTCACGCGTTGATCACTAATGACAATGAAGCTGCAAGGTATCAGGTAAATATTGCAAACAAATTATGATACATGTGTTTCTATGCGCTTGTGGGGGATTGGGTAGTCCTTGACGTTTTTGCCTCCACACGGTTTTCAATATAGGTACTTTTGAGCCTAAACTGACTGTCTGACTGAGTTTGGTTTTACGCCGCTTTTAGCAATATTCCAGCAACATCACGGCGGGGGACACCAGAAATGGGCTTCACACATTGTACCCATATGGGGATTCGAACCCGGGTCTTCGACGTGATTTGAGCCTAAACCTTGTGTTTGCTTGTTTGTGTGCCACACAGAGCAATAGTCCAGTTATGTGACGGTGATTTGTTGATGATCGAGTCTGGGTCAGACGTTCCAGTGATTGATATCATGAGCATCAAGCTGGTCAACCCGCCTGAGGGGGCGGTTGAGTAGCCTAGTGGTTAAAGCGTTCGCCTGTCACGCCCGAAGACCGGGGTTCGATTCCCCACATGGACACACTGTATGAAGCCCATTTCTGGTGATATTGCTGGAATATTGCTAAAAGCGACGTAAAATTAAACTCACTCGCTCACTCAGCCGGATCACCTGATCCCGTTAGTCGGTTCTTAAAGTAATGGTTTGCTAATGACGAATTCTAACGCGGATCTCAAGGGGTATGAAAATATCTCCTGCTAAGAATTACGGAAACCAAATAGCTTCATATTCTTTTCTCTGGGGTTAATGTCAACAATTAATGAAACAGAGGCCCTGGAACTATCAGGAGGCAATATGAAGGAACGCGGACATCCATCTGTATTCCATCTGTAATATTTGCCTCATTTAGACATTCCGAAATTGTTGAAGTTTACTACATCTGATTTTATATCCTGAAAAACGGATCATGACTGTTTATGAATAATTTTGTAGCGAAACTGATCATACAATTTTATAGAAAATACACCCCCAATAAACGCATAAAGCATTTTTACAGGTTTGATATACTGTTATTTGCTTTACTGTCATGAGAAGAATCACTAGTTGTATACTAAATGTGGCAGTATACATGTCAATAACTGACTGACTGAGTTTGGTTTTACCCCGCTTTTAGCAATATTCCAGCAACATCACGGCGGGGGACACTAGAAATGGGCTTCACACATTGTACCCATGTGGGGATTCGAACCCGGGTCTTCGGCGTGACGAGCCAACGCTTTAACCACTAGGCTACCCCACCGCCCCACATGTCAATAGACCATATTGGGTTGAATTATATGCTGGTCTGACGGTAATAGTAGATTACTAATATCAAAGTCCGATATACTCAGATGTATTTAAATTGCATTGATGACGAGGGAGTGAGTGAATGAGTCAGTTTAGTTTTACGCCGCTTTGAGCAAATCCAGCAATATCACGGCGGGTTTGACCTGAAATGGGTTTCACACATTGTGTCTATGTGGGGTGGGGAAATCGAACCCGGGTCTTCGACGATGACCAAGGAAGATAATTCCATATATACACAATTTGATCGTAATGAATGCATAATATCGGTGTTGACGGTAACACCGCTATCAAGCAAGTGATGTGACCGTTAGAATCTACTCCAAAACGTCTCATTCATTGTAATGTATACATAGAAGTCGTTTGTCAATAGAAAATTCACTCTTGTATTGCGCATGGTTTATTAAAATAATTGAGAGGGTTTGTCGTATCGGGGTTTTATTCAGATCCGTTAAAACCGAACGAAACATTCTTTTGTTCAAACGGAATGTATTTACGTTTGTGTCATTTACTGTAGGCGCTCGCGAGAAAACACGCCCACAGTAAATCTTACATCAGGCGGAGGTCCGCCGAAGAGACGGCCAATATAACGTTGGCTAAAGATACCCGGATGAAACGTGAGATGACAAAGTTCATCTCAAGAACTGAAGCTGAGAGGCAGATCAAAGAGCTGGAGGCTGAGCTCAACAGGTAAGTACAGAAGTAATGTCTAATGTCATAAAGACTGACTGACTGAGTTTGGTTTTACGCCGCTTTTAGCAATATTCCAGCAACATCACGGCGGGGGACACCAGAAATGGGCTTCACACATTGTACCCATGTGGGGATTCGAACCCGGGTCTTCGGGGTGACGAGCCAACGCTTTAACCACTAGGCTATCCCACCGCCCTAATGTCAGAAAGAAGGATGTCGCATAATAGGGCATATGGGTAGTCTACCTGTAAATTGTTTGATTATTACCCCGTAGACCTGTGTTACTACTCCTGTGTTAGCTTAGCCATGGTCCACGTCTTTATCATACGGCCTGGTAATTTTGAAAAAAGCAAACACACGTGCACGCGCACGCACACACAAACACATTCATACACACACGTGTATTTCGTACATTCAGGCGGAACGTTATTAGAATTACATAAAATGCTTAATGTACGTGAGTAGATGTGTTATACATCGTAAAAGGGTTTTTGTAACAGAAAGATATGGGGCCCATGTAACCCTCATGTTTTGTCATGTTTCATGTTCTGTTATTATATAACATGACATACTGGTATATACATCTTAAAACTATTGCATGGTTAAGTGTGCTTTAAGGCTGTAATTCAACATAGCACATTGGCTGACTTGTCGATTTCTAGCAAACAGGAGTGATACATGTAAGAACTGATATGAAACGATGACTAGACGAAGAGGGGAAACATGTGCCAAGCAAAGACACATTTATCAACTCCCAATAAAATATAGTGAGTGAGTGAGTTTAGTTTTACGCCGCACTCAGCAATATTCCAGCTATATCTGTAAATAATCGAGTCTGGACCAAACAATCCAGTGATCAAGAACATGAACATCGATCTAGGCAATTGGGAACCGATGACATGTGTCAACCAAGTCAGCGAGCCTGACCACCCGATCCCGTTAGTCGCCTCTTACAAGCATAGATTACTGAAGATCAATTCTAACCCGGACCTTCACGGGTCCAATAAAACTGTATGTAGGTACGTGTCAGAATTTCATGTCAGTTGGGAATCAATACTGTTTCTGTTGTAGTCTTAAGTCTGGTGCGTTAAGGAGCGGTGGGGTAGCCTAGTGGTGAAAGCGTCACGCCGAAAATGCGGGTTCGATTCCCCACATGGGTACAACGTGTGAGGCCCATTTCTGGCGTCCACCGATGTGAAATTGCTGGAATATTGCTCAAAGCGGCGTAAACCTAAACTCACACTGGTGCGTTTAAAGTTTGCAGTTGTTGTCGTTGTTGTCGTCATTTTGTTTTACGTTTTTGGATTTGATGTTGTTGTTGTTGTTGTTGGATCACGGTTATGTAAATTTGTTTTACAAGGTTGTTCCACAATAAGACCCAGAGATACAACGAGGACAAGAATTTCACACTGAGTCAACTTCTCTCCCATATAAAACAAGATCACCAGCCCCCACCCAGTCACAACTATGGCTTTGATGTCAGGGATAGCAACCACAAGCCAGTTAATCGGACTTTACCAGACCTCCGTTACGAAACCTGCAAACACGTGAAGTTTGATCGAGCCTCCCATACCTACGGTGACGGTCATTACGCCATTTCACAACGAGGCTATCACGATGCTCCTGCGTCATATCCACGCTCTGATAAATAACTCGCCGCCTCAGCTGCTCAGGGAAATTATTCTCGTAGATGATCTCAGTAGTCTGGAAAATCTCGGCGAAGATTTAGAAACATATGTACATGTGCTCGATAAAAGGATCAAACTCATTCGCAACAAGGAAAGACAAGGTGTGTCAAGGTCAAGGATGGTGGGAGCCGACGCTGCGACGTCGGAAGTGTTGGTATTTTTAGACTCGCACATGGAATGCACTGTTGGTTGGCTGGAACCGTTGGTTGCAAGGCTTGCCAGGCAATCAAATCTTGTGGTACAGCCGTTGTTACCTAATATCGTTTCTGTGGAAAACTCGTATCAGGAAAGGACCATGAGGGGAGCTTTTGACTGGGATTTAAGGTAATAGCCAAGATTACGCAGATAACATCAGTGAGTGAGTCAGTGAATGAGTCACTCAGAGGTATACTCGGTTATTTACAGACAGCTGTCATAGATATATAGAATAATTGCTGAGTGGGCCTTAAACACCATCAAGGAACAAAAATATTAACATATTTCCGTTAACGTTATATACGAGGTTATCTTAAGATAGCTTGGCTTTGACTAACATTTGGTCTCTGACATAAACATACTAAGAATTCCACACGGGGGAAAACAGATCTTAAATTATCTGAATAAAATATACCATGAAACCTTCTTCTTCAGGGTCCCGATTCACAAAGCATTAGTATCGGTACGTCATTCGTAAGAGTATGACAAACTATAGAGTTACGAGTGAGTAAGTATGGTTTTACGCCGCTTTTAGCAAAATTCCAGCAATATCACGCCGGTGGACACACATTATACCATGTGGGGAATCGAACCCGGGTCTTCGGCGTGACGAACGAACGCTTTAATCACTAGGCTACCCCACCGCCCATAGAGTTACGACAATTCGTATTGTTACGAACACTTTGTGGATCGGGACCCAGAAGCTGAAACTGCAGTAATGTAGTCTTGCCCAATATTATAGACATGTAAGGGCACTGTCTATTTGTATCACGGTTTTTATGACAGACTGACTGACTGAGTTTGGTTTTACGCCGCTTTTAGCAATATTCCAGCAACATCACGGCGGGGGACACCAGAAATGGGCTTCACACATTGTACCCATGTGGGGATTCGAACCCGGGTCTTCGGCGTGACGAGCCAACGCTTTAACCATTAGGCTACCCCACCGCCCCTTTTATGACAGAACATTCTTTGGCTTGTTATGATGTTACTGTTATCTATTTATTTTACAGTTATGTCTGGTCACCAAAACCCCCTTACGTCAGCCAACCTGCCGCAATGCCGTATCCCACCCCTGCTCTCACTGGCTGTGCTATCGCTGTTACAAAGCAATACTTCTATCACCTCGGAGGATTCGACCCCGGACTGGAGATATGGGGAGGGGAACATTTTGAGCTGGCGTTCAGAACGTGGATGTGCGGTGGAGCTGTTGAAGTTGTCCCTTGTTCTATTGTAGGACACTTGTACAAACTACTGACACACGACTTCCTGGGAGATGTTGATACTATACGGGATAAGAACAACTTGCAAGTGGCTGAAATATGGATGGACGAATATAAAGACTTCATATATGCGTCCTACAGATCAGAACGTAAAATACCGACCTTCACTCAAAAAGAATTGAAATCCATTGAGGCAAGGAAGGAGCTGAGACAAAGACTGAAATGTGGTAGCTTTAAAAACTATTTGGAGATGTTCCCGGAACTGAAGATACCCACTAAGGATAGTATATATTACGGTGCAGTGAAGAATAGCAACACCTCCTACTGCTTAGTGGTACAACCCAATGGTAACGTTGGAGTAGGGGATAATCGGTGTGGTGACTGGAGACTACTTCCCGAGGAACAGTTCATTATTGACAGAAAGGGGAGGTTGATGTTTGAAGAACTATGTGTGGGTATGGACGGAAATACGACATTGCTGAGAGCCAGTAAAATTAACTGTGATGATTCAACATCACTGTGGACATGGAATACGAACAAAGGAGGGTACAGAGGATTGCTTGAACTTTCTGGTCCCACAGGTCGTTATTGTATGGTACATCACCAAGGTGACATGGGAACCCAGAAACAAGATGTGGTTGAACTGACATCTTGTAATAATACAGCCTCCAATCAACTGTGGTCAATTGCTCATGAATTTGATTTTGGCGACAGTCCTTAATAACATGATAAAACTTTAAACAGTGAATACCCGCAAATCCGGATCTGGACACTCCATCGTTATGAATATAGGGGCGGAGGGGTAGCCTAGTGGTTAAAGTGTTTGCTCATTACGCCGAAGACCCGGGTTCGATTCTGCACATGGGGACAATGTGTGAAGCCCATTTCTAGTGTCCCCCGCTGTGATATTGCTGGAATATTGCTGAAAGCGGCGTAAAAATAAAGTCACTCACACTCACTTAATGAATAGTATGAATATGTTATCACTGATTTTCAGTAATCCATTCATATATCTTCACTGCTACGTTTGTCCTTTACACCAAATAGAATTTGTTTTTGAGAATATTAAAGACTGGGTGTTCTTTTACACTGACGTTTTGTTTACTCAGAAAACATAATTCGTTAAACGATTAATTTGGTCCTTGAGAACTGTAACGTCACGACCAACGAGTCTTCGCAGTACATTGAACGATGTGCTGTTCGTGAAGACGTGATTGCGGTTACCATTGATCTTTAACTTGATGCTGCTCTGACTCTGTCGTTGTAATGTCATTACATTTTAATGCTTTGTGTACATAAAATCATTCATTACATTCAAATGCAATATGCTTATGTTTTCTATCATTCAGTGTCGCCCAGTTCCCGAACCACAAATATATCTGATCCTGTGAAGCTCCACGCTGGTGCTTGTCGTTAATCTTCAAACTTTGCAGCAAACATTCCCCAAAATGATCACTTTCATCCCCAGCCATCCATTCTCATCTCTATGATAGCCGAGTAATGGCGTTAAATAGTTGTTGGCTTAATATAGACAAACTTCATAGACAACAGCTTTGTATTCCTGCTTGACAGCGGTACAGGAACCTGTATCGAGACGTCGCAGTCACTGAATATAGAAGACTACATTGTAGTTCACAGCTTCTAAATTGGCCTCTCAAAGAAGTTGTTGGCTTGGTTTGAGACATCTACCAAGACCAAACTTCTGTTTTATATAATATAATCTGAACGAAACCAGTCCTTGAAACGTTTGTATAGAAACTGGTTTTGCATGTTCACAGAAATTTGGTTTCAATAGGGAGAGAGCAATGCCGATCATTATCAGAAGGCCCTTAGGTTGAGGTATAACATTACATGTTTTATTTCACACAACACGGGTAGTACGGTCAACGCCCAGACTAAGACAAAAGATACACAGAGTCCAAACTTCTCTAGTGAGTGAGTGAGTGAGTTTGGTTTTACGCCGATTTTAGCAATATTCCAACAATATCACGGCAGGGGACACCAGAAATGGGCTTCACACATTGTACCCATGTCGGGAATCAAACCCGGGTCTTCGGCGTGACGAACGGACGCTTTATCTACGAGGCTACCCCACCGCCCCTTCTCTAGTTGGTTAATAGTACAATAAACAAATACAATTTACTAACAGAAATAAGCTGAACAGTGATTTTAACTGTAAATTGTCAAAGCCTAGTCCAGCCAGCAGGTGTATCGAACTCACGGTTGTAAACAGAGACGCAGTCATAATACCAGACTGCCTAACAGTAAGGGTGTAAATATGTACACATGGAGAAAGGTTTCGCAACACCCCATATTTTTCAAAGTATCAATGTGTTACCATCAACTATAGTAAAGGAACTTACTTTAACTTACTGTCTGGATAAATGTGTTACCCATTTCTGGTGTCCCCGCCGTGAGGAATAACTAAAAGGACAATCTAAACGCAAAAAGAACGAAAAACTGTAGTCTAAGCAAACATGGCAAACGACTGACAGTAATAGTCCGCGTATATGGCGCTCATATCCTGCTCACGGCGCTACGTACATTACTATCCCCGGTCATAGGATACCATCGTACTATGCGATACCTTTTCAACTCCCTGGGGATCATACAGTCATGCTGCCTGTTAGACGCAATGAACTAATCACTCACATTGCCAGCACATCCTCACGGGTACCCATTTTACAGCTGGGTGAACTGAGACAATGTGGATCTAAGTATCTTGTCCAAGAATACTACGCAAATGTGCCCACCTCGGGACCCGAACCTAGGTGCCTCCGCCGTGGATCGAACCCGGGCCTTCAGCGCGATAGGCAGACAGCTTACCACTGCACTATTGCGCTCCACTCCAGAAGTGCGGCCGTTTTCAAGATTTTAGTATATAATCCTCAAGAAATCAATAACCGAGTACAGTGTCAATATCTGGTGTGACCTCCGCCAACTGCAATAACATCTCTGACCCTCCTTATCATTGGCTGTATCAGACGTTGAATTTGACGTTGAGGTATTCAATAACTGGGTGGAGGGCTTCTTCCAAAACATCAAGATTTTGTACTGGAGGATCTCTGTGACCCCTAATGTTCACACATGCTTTATAGGATTGAGATCTGGAGTCCTGGCGGGCCTAGTTAGAGTTGCTACCGCCTTTTGAAAACACCAACGGCCCAGCATTGTGGTCCATGAAGACTGGCCTTCAGCGGATGGTCATCAAAATGTGGCACAACAACTCTGTCATGGATGCCAGTGATGTAACCATTCAACATAGGTTCTTATACCGTTGTCAAGCAAGAGTGAAGTACTACAGCACTCGTGCTTGGCAACGGTATACGAACCTATACCGAAACTTCGTATCATAATATACTCTTCAAAAAAAGAAACTTGACATGCTGATTTGGAGTTAATTTACTGTGCATATAACTGATTCAAGCATGACATCGTTGCTTAATGACAATAAAATCATCACTTTACAAATTTCCAAAACATGATTATCCAGAAAGTGTTTGGTAAAACCACAGAGGGATATTAAAGCCACTAGGTCAGAGTAAAATGTCAGTATCTGGTGTGACCACCATGATCAACAATAACAGTTTGGCAGCGGTGACCCCTAGAAGAAAGGAGATGCTGTCTTGGGGAATGTTTTCAGTTGTTACTCTTGCTGAAGTTCTGAAGTGTCTGTGCAGTTCTTGAAGTGTCTGAGGTGGCGGATTACGCTAGCGCAAGCGATCAAGAGTACCCTATAGATGTTCAATTGGGGACAAAATCCGGTGATCGAGAAGGCCAAGGTAACAACTGAACAATGTTTTACTGGTCCTGTGAAACACGTGCAACGTGAGGTCGAACATTGTCATGCTCCAAAGATCAACCGTTGAAGTTGATGAAGGGAACGACGTGACGTTGAACTGGTTTTCTGGCAAAAAGTCTGGCTTCCCATAGCCAATTGCGCACTGTCTGGTCGGAGATTCGACGCAGTCCAGGGATTTGGATTGTTGTGGATGATGCGGCCGTGGTGTTTGAACAAAGATGTCTCAACCGGATGTAGCGATCCAGGCGGCGGTGGTAACTCTAGGTCGACCTGAACTGGGTCTGTCATTCACACTCCAGTATTGTTGTATGGGGTCCATAGGTTTGAGATGGTCTGTCTGGACACGCTGAAGTAAACGGTCGATGGCGTTGTGTCGTTGAGCTTCTGTCAGTCTTTTCATTCTCTTGTCGTCTATAGTGGCTTAAAGCAATGCATGTGGAGTATCATTGATGTGGCTTTTTAAAGCCTACAGTCATAGGCTTCAGCTCAGGGTGATACACAATTTCATGATGCACGTGCATTTCATGTAGGGTGCTTTTTAGCGATTCACTACAGACGTGAGTGTAACGTTACGTTTTTGGTCAACGTTTCTTTTTGCAAACGTTTTGTCGTCGGCAACCATTCCAACACATGGTGGGATTCAGCGTGGAATGGTTTGTCTCAAATATTTTCCTAAAATTCAATTCTTTCCTATGTCAAGTTTCTGTTTTCTTTTCCTTTTTTTGAAGAGTATATAATACAGAAGTATCTCACCTAGCTTACTGATGGCAGACACGGACCGGACGTTAATCAGTTATAACTATAAATATCTAAATATGATCCATCCATGCATCCATCTATCCATCCATCCGTCCATACATACACACATACATACATACACACATATACACACATACATACATACATACATACATACATACACATACATACATACATACATACATACATACATACATACATACATACATACATACATACATACATACATACATACATACATACATACATACATACATACATACATACATACATACATACATACATACGAACTTCCATCAAGCAAATATGTTTCACTAACACATGAGTAACTGGAGAAATATGTTTTATTAACAATGAAATATGTTTCCTTCTAAGCAGCCGAGCAAAATAAAATACATACTTTCAAAGATTTTGTAAACACACACAACTATATTCATAAATATATATACATGTCATATAAATGTCAAAATGTTTCCAATCTAACTCGACTGGGTTAGAATACAACATGTAAATGTATTCACAAGTGACACTCGAAAATATCAAAAAGCAGTTTATTACATAGCAAAACATGATGAAATATTAACATTATTTATGAATACCCTGTGATGTCATTTATGTTTCCAGTCAAACTGATAAGTAAATCTCCATAGTTGCGATCTGTTCTTCTTGTCACATAGCTGCAGCTCAACCCATCCGAGGGCAGGTGGCGCTGTTAAAACATGCGCGAGACACAACCGCCCCCTACTTCCGGTATAAACGATTCGTCCATAATTGTCAGGATCCATCGTCCAGGACGAATTATTTTGACCTACATAACAATTTGTGTCACTGAGTTTTAATGTCTGCGTGTGGTCATCTGCGTAAACACATTTATTGTCATGTACAAATCTGCCAAATCTGTCAATTGTAAAATATATTCCTGGTAAACTAACACCTTTTGGAAGTTGCATTTTCGTCAAACCCAGTTCATTTTTATCTGTCACTGCTAAAGCGTATGATGTATTGGCATTCATGACCTCCCCGTAGTACAAGGCATTAGTAGACGGTATCCCAGCTTCAGGGATAACATGCTTCAGGTACCAGTCAAATGTTTTACACTTCAGAGTCTTACGAATCTGCCTCCGCTGTTCGATTCTGTCATCGCCATGAAAGGTTGGCAT